CCGTTTTTTCTAATTGGTTAAACAATTATGTCATCGCTTTTAAATAATCACATTGTTAAAAATTTTCGAAACAATAATGTCGAAAAATTTCGAAATCTGTTTCTCACATATTATATTGGTGGATATGGAACAGTCATACAGTATTGCTGTTTCAGCCATACGCAGTGCAGAACAGCCATATGTATATGAGAGACAATAATATGTATATGTGAAGCAAACACCAATACTGTATTTGAAGAACAAAAATACAGTATTGCTAATTCAGCTATACGTCCTAACCATATATGAGTATGACAAAATCGACAATATCATTTTTTTCAGTGTATAAATTAACAATTTTAATTATAAATAAGTATGGTAATTATTACAATTAAATTACAATTACTTCACATAATTTTTTGATTAACAAATTAAATTTTCCAGCAATTACAAATTATTGCAAAAATTCAATTATTTTCAAAAGTAGTAAAATTCTTCTTAGAAATTCAAATTATTTTCAAAAACTTTCCTCAATTCAATTATTTTGAATATAGCTATACTTTAATAGAATTTCGCAAAAGAATTCAATTAGTTAAACAATATTTTAATAAAATTCTACGCAAACATTTCATTATTTTCATAAATAATAACACATTTTTTACAGGGATTCAATTACTTTAATAAAAAATGAAACTCATCGCAGAATTTCAACTATTTTTAATACTATTTTCATTAGATTTCTCGAAAAATGAAATTATTCTTAAAAATTCTTTTAAATTCAAAGAAATCAACGAAATTCAATTATTTTAAAAACCTTTGCTTATATTTCCAATACATTTTTAATTAAATTTTTTCAAAGAATTAAATTATTTTCAAAAATTTTATTCAAATTTTTTGTAACAATTCAATTTCTTTCAAAAGAATTTTAATAAATTTTATCACAATACAATTATTTTCAATGTCTATTATTTCAATAAAATTTCAGAAAAGAATTCAACTATTTAAAAAGAAATTTTAACAAAATTCGTCTCAAGAATTCAATTTTTTCTAAAAGTAATATAATTCTTCGCAGAAATTCCATTATGTTAAAAAATTTACAAAAATTCTTGTTAAAATGTCAATTATCTTTATAAATAATAAAATTTTTCTCCGAAATTCAATTATTTTCAAAAATTTTAATAAAATTCTTTGCCGAATTTCAATTATTTTGAATAAAATTTTCATTAAATTTCTCAAAAAATGAAATAATTCTTAAAAATTTTATTAAAATTTGTCAAGATAATTCAATTATTTAAAAATTTGCGTTGATTAAATTCATTATGAAAATTGAATTTTAAGAAACATTCAATTATGTAATTAAATTTTTATTTTTGTATATTTAAATAATTAAATTCTTGTAGAATTTTTAATAAATATTGATTTAAAAATGAATTTCATTAAAAATTTTAGATTATATTTTAATATTAAAATCATTATATTCTATTATATTATATATATATATATATAAATAATATAAATAAAATAAAATAAATAATAAAATAAATATAAATAAATAAAATATATTATAATATAATAATAAATATATAAATAATATATATAAATAATTATATATATATATATATATATATATATATATTCATATATATATATATATATATATATATATATATATATATATATATATATATATATATATATATATATATATATATATATATATATATATATATGAATATATATATATATATATATATATATCTATTATATTATAATCTACGGATTTTTAGAAATAATTGAATTTTCAAAAGGTTTCAAATTAAAATATTTGAAAATTTGAACTTTTCATACTTTTAATTAAGAATTTTGCAGAATTAATTTTTTTTAATTATTTCAAGTTTTTAATTTCTAATATATTTAATTGAAGAATGTCAGAATCATCGAAATTTCGTGAAATTAAATTGTAAAAAAAAGGATTTGAAAATTGTCAAAGAACTTTTTCAAAAATTATTTTAAAATAATTGACTTAAAGCATAATTTTAGTTGAAAATTCTAGAAATGAATAATCGAAATAATGAAAATAATATTTATGGAGAAGTTGCAGTAAGAAAGTAGCAAGACTTAATTATTATAAAACATGAAGAAAGCGATCACTCCGAGTCGATGTTTTATAAAAAAATATTCTTATATGTTATTGAATTTAATTTTTGAAAATCTTAATTTCAATGAAAAAATAATAATGATTAGGTAAATATTTATTTAAAAATACAGTATATTCGAATTCACTCGAGAACTTGAACTCGGTTTTACTGATTAAGTTATTGGACCGAAATATAATTGAACCGAGTTTCGAGCTTTTTGCACACTTGTATGAATTTCTAATTTAATGGAATACTATATATTCGTTTTCCTCCCAGAAAACGCAGCATTTTTCGGACACTTTAAAAATCCAAATGTATATAAATACAATTATGCAAGACTATATTTCTTTGAAATATTGCAGAACGCTTGTCATGGAGAATGAGGAGGAAATTGAGAAAGAAAGAAGGAGAATAAATAAAGAGAGTAGAGAAGATAAAAGGCACATACGATCCTAGGTTTTAGAGACCGCCTCTAACCTCCCTGAGGAGGTCGCCCTGCCTTGGCGAGTCTCTCGACTCGGGCGTTCCTTATAGTATATACGCGGCTCGTTCTTTCGCCTGGTTCGCTTCTGTTTTACGCTTTTCGACTTTTTCAAGATTTATCCTCGACGCTTCCTCGCTAAATCGCTTTCCGGGTGAAATTTACGGTCGGGAGGAGCGCTGCTTCTGACTAACCGGGGTGGGAGTGAGATGGAGTGAAAAAAATAAAAAGAATGGACTGAAAAATAGAATAAGATAGAAAGAGGCAGAAAGCTTCGCTCGACCGAGTAACAGGACCCCACATTCATTCTCGGCACGTTCTTCTCACTACTTGAACCTAAAACTGAGTACGGCTCGCCTTGGCATTACCCTTTTTACCTACTAGCTCTCGATATCTCAAGAGGTTATTTTATTTTCCACTCCATATTATACAACTCACACTCGCGCTTGACCGATCTTCACAAAGTTACTGAGGATGATTGAATCACAAAGAGCAGGTGATTATTGATTTAGTCTCGATAATTACCTCTGTATGTGAGGATTCAGAAAGTGGTGCTTTAAGTAAGGCACAGACAGGGGCGCGACATATTGCACGAAATTGGTGCATATCAAACAGGAGCAGGCAATTGAAATATACCGAATCGAGTTCCGTTGGTAATGTTGCCCAGGGGGCTAACCATCGCCGTCTCTCACTCTCTCACTCTCTCCTTTCCTTCTCTTCCATCCTAAACTGGTATGTATATAATGGACTTATTGCCCGCCTTCTTCGGGCGAATTTCAACCAATTTCTTCACGGTACTCGAAAATAAATAATCAATTGTAAAATATAATCACTTTTGGTAAATATGTATTAATAAACTCTACTATCTACTGTTATACAAATAATTATGTGCAAGCCAATTTTTATTGACACTTTGACAAACTTTTATCACTGCGGTAATCCTTCTTCTAACAAGTATTTACTTCTATTTGTTAAAATACTGTACTTGTTAAAAATATTAATTATAATCAATGATCATTGATGAGTTAAAAGTGAATCGTACATCACTTGCGACCATAATAAATATCAAGAGTTTGTCTGTACATAATCCTTGAGTGGAAGTTGATAAAAGCCGACTGCGTTTATATACATACAATACATACATATACGTATAACCCTGTAGCTCGAGGCACAGATTCAACGAGTTCAATTGCTGCACCAAACGATATAGAAGAGGATCGTATTGATTTCACTATTATAAAGCGCTGAGACTTGCTCGATTATTTACGAATATATTTTTCGCATCAAAGGAAAACTCTTATTCTTTACACTTGAATTAGTTGAAACGCATTCACTAATTTATTGAAAAAAAATTGTCTACTTTTTGAAACAATTTGTATAAAAGTATTTTGACTCGAGACGCTCGAGACGCTCGAGACGAGACGACAAACAAACATTAAGAGTTATAATCGCATGGTGAATTAAGTTCCGGAAGCGGAATTGAAGGGCCACCAAGCGCGACTAAATCGAGTGAGAAGGTCCCTTTGCCATATTCTATGGCGATATAAACCCACTGAAATAAGCTCGAATCTCTTGAAAAGGGAAATCATTTGTATAGAAATGGAGATCCAAGGGGCAAGTAATACTGGACCAAGAGTGTATTTCGAGTCACTTCCGGATTCTCGCCTACATGGGCGAAGGGAACACACACATCCCTGAACCCTCCAAGTGCACTCGACTCTTGCTCGATTCCACGACATTTGCTGTCATGTGTGTCATCTCATGTGTTCACATTTCAAAAAGTTTTACTTTCAAATGGAAATAATTTAAGTTTTTCGGTATGAACTAAATACGTTTTAATGGCAGCTAATATATAATAATTATGTGCGGCGTTTAATTGAATTAAATGAATTTCTGGTCTTTAAAGAACCGTGTAAAGCGTAAAGCATATTGTATATGTATATGTATACATAGAAATCTTAATTCACTAAAGTGCTATTGTGTTAGAGACCCTCATATTGTGCCTGAAGTATTCGCGTTCAATCATGAGGAAACGAGTTACTTGTTGGCTAAACTCATTGTTTGCTTTTGGATTCACTGAATGGTTAGTGGCTTTCAGTTTATTTCACGTTTATCTATTTACATTTGATTTATTCGCTTGACGCCTCGCTTGAAGGCCATCAGTCATGCATTTCACTACTATGTTTGAAAATTGATTTTTACTTTATTTTAATATTATTTGTATTCGTATCAAAACTATTAATTTTCTCTTTTATATTAAATTTACTTATCAATTTCTTAATAAAATTATTTCAAAGTTTCAATTATTGAAAAAATTAAGAATTAACCAAAACAAAAATTATACTTGAATTTTTTATTTATTTATTAAGTTATAAGTACATGTCAATTTATAGTAATAATTTAACATTTTAACTAATTCAAATGCAGTCGTTTACGGTGGTAATCATTTATTATTCATTTCATTTTCAGTGAGACAATCTAAATATTGTTTTTCAACCCTATGATAATTGATATTCAATTGATTCTTCATTTCTTTGTAGCACAAGTGAAATTTTATATCGAATTCTTGAAAATCGAAAATTTTTGAATTTATTACTTTATTCATTTTGTCATGAAGAAATTCTTTCAATATTTCCATTTTTTTCCGTCCTTGAAATAAGCATTCTGAAAAATTGATTCTTTCTTCCTTTAATTTATTACAATTTTGATGCATGGAATTGCAACTGTTTTTTATCTCTTCACCTAACTGAAAATAATTACAAGTACACATTTTCAAATTTCCAAATTGACTCTTATTTTTGATAAAATGAATTCTATAGACGCGTACACGTAATTTAAATATAGTGACGTTTATATATTAAATTAAAAGTTGTCCCTCTCTAAATCTAAATTAGTAGAATTTTATTAGTTATTGTTTCCATGGATGACTGACGACTTTTCCCCTTTTCTAAGTCATTTGGTGGATTACTTTTCGTCATTTCATTACTAACTTTCTACTAATTCAGAATTAGAGAGCATAATTTATTGTATAATGTTACACATGTACCTAGAAATTTTCAATATAGTTACCCAAGATATGTGTTCCATATAAGTAAAATCATTCGAATTGAATTCATTAAAATAAATGCGATTAATACTTGCAGAACAGTTGAGTTGGTATTGTAAAGGGAAACGTAATAATACCCAAGAAAATTGCTCAAAAGTACTATTTTTACAAATGTTTTTTCTTTCTACTGAAGCTATACTCTCGTTCTGCGAATAACATAATGGATATGTATTTAAATTTTTGTAATTATAATTTACAATTTTTGACAAGTTGTTTTATACTCACAATTAGAGCTATTCGTTTGAGGACGTATTCCAGAGAAGCAATTTCATTCTGCTCATACAGTTTTCTTATTCGCTGTGATTGTTGAAATTGGGTGGATGTGTAAAATTCTGTAAAATTCCTTATTTCTTTTGTCACATATTCATTTAATTCAATGATTTCTTTGGAAATTTCGACTTCATGTTCCAAATATTTAGAATCAATCTGAAGGAAAAGTAATGTTTTAACAATAAAAACAATAGTTAAATAAAAATGTATAATATTTTCTACTTACTGGAAAGACGAAGAAAACAAATGAAAATAAAAATAATAGCATAATTCTATGTATAAGTGAGCTAAAATAATCTATATTGCAATTCAAAGATCCGTTATTACTGTAATAAAGACAGTTTTCATAAAAACTTGTATTTATAGTAAAACTTTATCAGATAACACTAAATTGTTAAGAAACAATTATTGAGTTCATTGTAATGAATTTAATAGAAAATTATACACCGTATACACCTGAGTAAATTTCCTTTAAATGTAATACGTGTATAAATAACGAGGGAAAATGTTTGTCTAGTCTATGTTTCATTAAAACCAGTGAATTCAAATGCTAAATCAGTGAAAATATACATTGAGTCTAGACGTGTTGTCTAGTTCTATAAACTAGAAGCAATTTTCTTCAACCTTCAACGCTTTCAATATTGTTCCAACTTTTTGGTGTTGAATTTTATTAATCATGGGTTTCAAATATAAAAATGTTACTGTGTAATTTTTCAAGTGATTTTTTTAATTGTTACTCACTATTAAAATGACTAATGTAAGATTTATTAAAAATTATACAAGTATAAATTTATATAAATAATTCATGAAAAATTTAGAAACATGTATGAACACTTGTTTTAACAATAAAATATTTTCCACTGAGAGAACTTTGTTTCGAAATTGAGTACGCTGCCGTTTCATTTTTGTAAAAAATAAGAAATTAGAAGAAAATTTAATCTCTCTTCCACACATACAATGAAACAAATTAAAAGGATTAAAAATTTGTACTTTTTTTAAAAAAGAAACACACATTTTCCATATTGCATTTTAATGTCTCTGAAATGTAAAACTAATTTTTCGAATAAGGGAAGTAGTCGCGTATGCCAAGTTAACCTCCACATTAAATGTATTGAAGTATATACGAAGCACAGAACGCACTACAGATCTGCTTAACTATAAGATACATTACATTAGATTATTATCTACTAATCGATCTGCCATAACTGCAATACATGTCCAAAGAAATCGTAACAATTTTATTCACTAATTATTACTCTGGCGTCACATCTTCTGCAAACTAATAAGGAATCTTTGATGGATCATATTAAGATTATGTGTATGTGCATAGTGTTCAGTGTAGAGAGAAGCTTAATTTTGTTATCCCGCATTATTGCGCCCATTACAAGCAGGGCATACAATGAGTGCCTTATTGAATTGTGCCGTCCAAGAATAAGGGCTAACGTGCTGCATGAAACTGAACGACAGTTAATTAATTTACGTCAATTCATATACGTAATAGTTATTGGAAGCTCAAGCGGATGGGATGGTCCACTGCGTAAAGGCGACTATGCCAATACAATATTATAATTATTGGACAATTGAATATTTGATAATCATTTATTATTTTAAAGTTACCCTTTTAAATTAAAGCTCAAAATTCGTTGTTTTCGAGGAAATAATGAATTTTAAAATTATCACATTCATGACTCAAAGCAGTGAAAGTATTTAAAAATACGGACTTTAATACGGACCAAAAATTAAAGACCATTTACGAACCAATTTCTGACAAAAATATAACCAGTCCGAGTCAAATAAGAAAACATTTTACTTAAAACTAGAAATTAGATTTTAGATTAGATTTAAATTAATTAGATGGCCCAGTGATAAAATCAATATCTTATATTATAAGAATATTATGTTATTGTAACTTCTTGAAAATTATTTTCATCATTTCAATTCAATTATTATTTTCAAAAATTTTAACTAAAATTCTATTTTAGATCAATTATTTTTAATAATTTTTGAAAAAGTTCTTTGGCAATTTTCAAATCCATTTCTTTACAATATTCAATTTCACGAAATTTCAATTATTCCCAAATTCTTCAATTAAATGCATATTAGAAAATAAAAACTTCAAATAATATAAAAAAAATCAATTAAACTTCTTCAAAAAAATTAATTTCAAAATTTAATTATTTCTATATTGCTATATTGCTATATTGCTATATTGCTTTTAATATTCAATTATAATCTAAAATTTTAACTGAAATTAATTTTTTAAAACAATTTTTATTAGTAAATTCTCTGATTCTTAACTCTCTGAATGTTATCAACAAATTTTTAGAATAATTACATTTTTCGAGGAATAAAATTACATTAAAATAATGTAAATTCTGCGATGAATTTTATTATTAGTAAAAATAATTGAATTCCTAAAAGAATTTTATTATTTACGAAAACAATTGAATCCTTGTAAAAATGTTACCTATTATTTATATGAAAATAATTGAATTATTGCGAAGAAATTTATAAAAAATTTGTAAATAATTGGAATTTCTGTAAAATTTTTTATTAATTATAAAAATGATTGAATGTTTGCGTAGAATTTTATTCAAATTTTTTTTAATAATAGAATTTTTTTGGAAAATTTTATTAAAATAGTAGATATTAAAAATCATTAAACTTGAGAAAACTTTTGAAAAAATTGAAATTTTGCCAAGAATTTGATTAAAATTTTGGAAAATAATTGAATTTCAGAGGAGAATTTTATTACTTATAATAAGATAATTGAAATTTTGACTAGAATTTAAAATAAATTTTGAACACAATTGAATTTCTGCGAAGAATTTTATTATTTTTGTAAATAATTGAATTTTTCTGTATAATCATTTGTAATATTTCTCTAAAATTTTTCAAATTATATATCGAACAATTTCCGAACTTTTCGTCCTTTTTCAATAAAATTACGGAGTTTACGGGCCATTTTTCAAAAAACTGTTTATTTTCACTTGAAAATAAATTTAGAAATGAATCGAGATTTTTCAATTAAAAATAATACCTTCTCATGTGATGAGAATGTAGAAAATAATTTTATCACAAAGTATAAGCAAAACTTTAATTTTTCTAGCCCTCGCAGTTGTGATGGAAAATAAATAATAAACTTTAGAAAGAGAAAGCTGAATATTTAAAGTTGATAAAAAGTTTCTCTAGTTTGTCATTTAAAGGTTTCATGTTCCGCGTTATATTGTTCTGATCATCACATTGCTATTGAAATAATTGATGTAGGCAACTAGCAAAGTGCCGCGTTATGGTGACGTCAAGTTTCAATAATTTGGCACGCGACGACAATCGCATTGTGCCGCTGCGACGCTGCGACGCTGCGCAAATAGCATGAATTGCAATTAAAAGTGATAATTCCTTAATTAGCTTTGTATTCCATTTGCTCGGGGTCGCCTCAGAATCCCAGGAAATTGCCCGATAAAGTAACAAATTTTCTCAGCCTTGGTATCTGAAATTGCTTCTAAATTTTAACATCAAAACAATTTCAATTTATATCTTGTCTTTAATATTCTTATGCAATTTTTTTTGCTTCAGGTATTTATTGTATTAATTAAATGCAGAATTGCAGATTTAGAGATGAGTAAAAACTAAAAATCTTCAGGATGTTTGTGCAATTAAAATTTTATTGATATCCTGTTTTGTTGATCGGTATTGTTGATATAGAATGACTTTTGTACATAGATAATCATTAAGTTAGTATTCATACAATATCTGCAGTGATTGTAACAAATGTAACGGCCAAGTTAAAGAACCAAATTCGTATAAGGATAGATCTATCTAATCTAAAATCCTCAATTAAATAAGGGACAATTGCTCTGTATTACAATCGTGGCTAATTTAAAGTGATTGAAATGGCGCTGCAGAATGTAAGATGAGTTTAAATCAATTTACAAGAATCGTCTGATTAACCATTTATTCACTTCACATTATATTTCAAAATCAAATGCCACAATATCCAACATACTTTTTACATGGCATTCTTCAAGTAATAAGAAGTTATTTAAAATTCCAATTATTATTCCAATCCATGACTGTTTAATTTAATAACACAATTTAATAACACAAGTATTGTGTCTTTTTTGTGTCTAGGAATTTTCACTTGAATGCCGAATAAAACTGAAAATTTCTTTTCTGCATGTGGCTCAGTAGAAACCAGTAGAAACGACGGGTTAAAGGGTGTTGGGGAACATACGCGTCGACAGAAGGGACGAAATGTAGCGAGGCTAATCCGCATACGGCCTTCGGGTGCCGCGATTTGAGAGATCCACTTTTACCCCATCCACTAATAAGTGCATAAGAATACAGTCCCCTATGAAAATAGTCAGCATGTGGTCCGTGCTCGGTGGCTCGATGTGTATTTGTGGTGTTGAACCACCCGAGCGGGAGATTATGCCAGTGTTTTATTGTGCGATCATCCGACTGGGGTTGGGGATATATTGAGGTTTCGAGTGTGTTTACTCCTCGACACTCATCTACCAAAGATATTATACCCTTTACGCTGCAATATATTCGTCATTTACTCATTTTACTTATGAAGATGTTCAATTTTAAATTGTAAATTTGCTTTGATAATTGTCATTCAGACCCTTTTTTATTTTACTGATGAATAATTAAGGATTACTTATAGTTATCTGACATTTGTCAGATTATCAATAACAATATGTGCGGGACATATTAAAAATCGGTGTAATTCTTACACTTGTTTTTTAAAATTTGTAATTGAAAAAAGTCTGGATTTAATAGACGCAACATACCCGTGTAGAAATTGCCATGTCATAACATGGCCTACACAATGATCAAAAGATCTGAATGGTTAAATTTCTACACGGGTATTAAGGATGAAGTCGATATTGTAAATTCAACTTATTTTTTAATGATTTAATAATTTGAAGAATTTATCTCGAGTGACAAATTTTGAATTCATATGAATTTATGCAAAAGAGATGATGTGTGTTTTGTTATAAGAGCAAAACTCGATTACGTGAAAGATTCCCATTAGAGGGATTGTAAACTCATGTAAATAAATAACGAATGTATTGGGGTTCTCTATATGGCTAAGCAGGCATCGATCGCCAAACTTAATAAACGGCAAGTTATAAATTTCTAATAAGCTTGTCATATTATATAGGTGTATATATTTATGAATATATGCGATTACGTGCACAAGTCCTTTTGTCCAACGAATGGCTTTAAAATCATAAACCCTCTCTCTCTTTTGCTCTCAATTAATCTATGCCTCCCTCTTCGTCTACGGGTCTCTAGTACGAAGGGACAAATTGAATTTTTGATCATGACATGCTGGATCCCGGGAAAAGCCGAGTGCCGTCGAGATGATACTAATTGAAATTTGAAATTGATATTAACCAATTATTACCCCTAGCTCTCTCTCTATCACGTTTCTGTCTTTCTCTTCGGTTCCCCCGTTCGCCCTCTATGTTTGTCTTGCAATCATCCTCTCGTTGGATATCAAAAATAATTCATATGACAAATTCAACAACAGCGTTTTGAGTTTGGATCCGAATATTAAAGACTTTTGCTACAAATGAGTTTACAAACATATTCATTGAAAGGCTTTATATACATTAAGATTTCATAAAAAGAAGAAATTATTTAGGTACACGAATGGAAAGTTATTCGACGTAGGTATCAAAGACGAGTTTTTTTTATTTTATTATCATGAAACTAAATTTTAATATTTGTTTTAGAATATTTTCGGTTTCGACGAAGCAATATGAAGGAAATAATTTTTTTTTCTATTTAAACTAAATATGCAATTTAAAGAAATACAGTAGAAAAGTTTAAAAGGTTTTCATGGTAATATTGAAATATTGACTTTAAAAAATCAAGAAAGAAGCAAGATATGAAAACTTCTCTTATGGAAGATTTATATATATATCATTCAATGTTCTCAATAATACTGAAAGCAAAATATTATTTGCCTACAAATTAAATTCAACTTTGGTTAATTTCACGATTCTACATTTTGAATAGATGGAAAATGAAATTAAAGTTTATATAAAAATAAAAAGTAATTTAGACATGAATGATATAGGTATTGTAATAGTTACCCGTGCAGAAATTTTGACCGGGGCCAGGTCGGGGCCAGATCGGGACAAACCGGGCCCCGATCTGGCAACCCGACCTGGCCCCGGCCTGGTTGAAACACTAAAACCGACCGGGGCCATGGCACTTTGCCCGATCTGGCCGCCCTGTCGGGACCCGGTCGGGGCCATGGGATTTCCCCCGATCTTTTCGCTACCCAGGTAGAATTCCAATACTGACTGCATTTTATTATATTAAAGCTTGTTATTTGATTATTAAAGAATGGGGAGTATTTACTTCAATATTAATGATTATTATTAATATTTTTGTAGTAAATAAACTTTTATGAGTGTCATTAAAAATGTAAATAGTTATTAGAATTGCTTTTATTGAACTAAGTTTTTAAAAAAAATATTTTTCTTATTTTCTTTCATTAATTTAGACAGACTATCTTATTTAAATTAATAATTATTTATAATTATTATTATTGTTAATAATTATTTAAACCTATACTTTATGTAACATTATTAAGAATTATACACAAAACACTTAAAACTAAGACGGAAAAATATCGCACGCACGGGGGACCGAACCCTAGACCTCGAGGACGCAAGTCGAATACACATACCGCATAGCCACGCAAGCTTGGAAGCGACCTCGCTTAAACTTCCTTTTGAATCATGGGACCGTTATATACAGTGTTATCATAATAAATTGACTGTATCATATTTATTTATAGAAAAATTATTAAAAATGTATGTTATATATATATATATATATATATATATATATATATAAATTAATATGTTTATCATAATAATATGGTAAAAATTATTAATTTAATTATTTATTCTATATTATTTATAATTTAACTATTTTTTAAAATAATAAAAATTTTTTCATTATTAATAATTCACAATAATACTAAAAATTATTAATTAATAATAATTTATTTTTTTGCCTTAAACATGGAATTTCAATTTAAGTGTGAAAAACAATTAAGAGTTTTTAAGAGTTATAAATGTCAAAAATAATATGTTAATATTATAACCACAAAAAAATTTAACATTTTAGGCAATATTTTTGGTTATCACCATGATAACATCGACAAATGGTTCACCCTCGACAATTGGTGCGTTTGTCCTATTGTTTTAAATTAAAGGAGAATAAATTCTTAAGACATCCCTCGAGGACAATTTTTGAGTTTTTAATTGTTTATAATTTTTATTTTCAAATTTCAATCAAAGTTAACAAATTAACACAATTTTTTAAAAACGGACGTTTATTTTCTTATTCCGTTACTGCACATGCTCTAAATCAGTTCAAATTAATCCAATATTACCAGCAGACAATTAAAAACCCATAAAGTAATATATTTCAATTGTCATAAACAACATTAATTAACAAATAGTTAACTTATGATCCTGTCCAACAGAAAATTTTTGTTGCAAATTTTCTTTTTTACTTAGGTTCTTTTAAAGAATATATGTCTTTTTTGCTTATAATATAACTTATTTAAATATTTAATATTATATATCCGTGGTCTTTTAACATTATCTAAATAAAAAAGTAAACGTGAAAAAAAAATTTTTGGTGGAAAGGAACAAAAATTAACTATTTGTTAATTAATATTATTTGTAACCATTTAAATAAGTTATTTTTTAAACAAAAAGGACACATATTTTTAAAATGAACTTAAATTAAAAAGTAGACGTGAAAAAAAATTTTTTTGGTGGACAGGAGCATAAGTTACATAACTATTTGTTATTTAATATATTGTTTATAACAATTTAAATAAGTTATTTTTTAATCAAAAAGGACAAATATTCTTTAAATAGACTTAAATTAAAAAGAAAATGTGAAAAAAAACATTTTTTAGTGGAAAGAAATCAAAGTTAACTATTTGTTAATTAATATTGTTTATAACAATTGATATAAATTACTTTCTGTTTTATTAATTATATGGTGGTCATATTGTATTAATTTGAACTGATTCAGATCATATGCAGCAACGGAATAAGAAAATAAGCCTCCTTTTTTGAAAAATTGTATTAATTTGTTAACTTTGATTGAAAATAAAAATTATAAACAATTAAGAACTAAAAAATTGACCTTAAGGGATGTCTTAAGAATTTATTCGCCTTTAATTTAAAATAAAGAATACTGAAACCGGTTAAGAATTGTAGGCTGTAGACAGTTTTGAACAGTAAATTGTAAAAAAAATCCCATTGTGCGCTGTTTGTAGATCCTTGGGCAAACCCGGTCTGGTCCTGGTCGGGGCCACGAAGTCGGGGCCAGATCATGAAATCCCGACCGGGGCCAGGGCGGTAATCGGGAACAAAAGTGGCGATTTCTGCACGGGTAATTTGAAGGAAAGTGAGGCAGAATTGAAATTCACAGTATAATTGTGTAAAAATGTAAATTTCGTTTATTGCAGATTGGATCTGTTCACACGCATCAAGCTTTAAACCATCTACATCAACAACAGCAACTGCAGCCGCAACAGCAGTCACCTCAGTCGCAGGTGCCGGGGGCAGGAGGAGGGGGAGGAGCAGCAGCAGCCGGTGGCGCTAGTGGTGGGTCGGGGGGTGCTGTGGGGGTGATGGCCAGGAGCGGTGGGATATACTGCTATCACTGCCCCCCCGGTATACCGACCCCCCGACTTCCACCCTCTCTCGATTACCCCTTCGCCCCAACGCACCCCTGTAAGTTCGCTTTTTATACTCTTTCAGTATCTCATTTCTTCTTGTCCCTCACTCCACAAAAAAACCCTAAATGTCGAATTTATATTGACTTTACATTTTTCAATTGATACTCTCTCGCAGATTAAAGCAGGGTCTACATACTGTGGAAAAATATAAAATATAGCGAGCAAGTTTTCGGTAAAAAGTCGATAGAAAATGGTAAAGAACAAAAATTATATTCTATTATCATTTGAAAAGGTTTTCCATCTGATATCAGGTGATTTCCTGAAAAATATTTCAAAGTTTTATAATTTGAAGGAATAGAAAGCTTAACGTATACAGGATTCAACTTCTGAAGCTTAGAAATTTCTCAATATAATTTAAGGATATAGCCGAACATCTGTCGTTGAAAGTTCGAAAATCATGGCATTATCGGGAAATGTATAATAGACTTGAATGATGGCTGTATAAAAGTAGTAACTTTTGATGCCATTACTTGGAAATAGAGACAAGGAGAAGTCGCTGGAAAAACTACACGTAGAGGGAAATCTAATGACACCCCGACCGTTGCTAATGAGCGAATGTCGGTGGTCCAAGAGGGTGGGAGAGACTAGAGAGAGAATTGAGGTCTCTGGACTGTGGGCCGAGTGAACCCACTTACCGACTTATCACGTAGTTACCTAATCTGTTTATCCCGACAGGGGGGAACATCTCACAGTGAAGGGTGCCCGAACGTCCCTGAGGGCCCTTCCCTTTCCCCCCATTCAATCATCCAACATCATTCACTGCGCCTGTAGCGGATCAGTACATTTCGTTCAGAAGAGAATACTAATTTACATTTTATAGCTTAAATTTTAAAATATGTCTGACATTTCGATATGACATCCGGGAAAAGGGCTCCCCTCTAATCGCATCTCAAAAAAGATGCGATGTCATTATCTAATATTTTTTATCCTGCCGATCAAACTTTCCTGCACAGAAAGAAATAATTCGTCGATAAGTTCATCTATAGTCTAGTTTTGTGAATTAATAATAAGCATTTTAACTTTTTTAGATTTTTAAATGACACAAGATTGGCATGAGATAAGTCGAAAATGGAAACGACGTTTAAATTGAAACGGGAAACTTGATACAATTCATTTTCCATGTCTAGAGGAGGGAGAGGTCAAGTCAAAGTGTTGGGTGCGGACTTGGAAACGATCAGTGAGTAGGTAAACTATCGTGAAAGTTCCGCCTGACACCGAACCGCGGTTTAACCGGAAGTTAGCTTCAAGTGCAAACTAAGTTTAGTGGACATCCAGTTTGTAGCGTCCACTTTGCGTAACTCAGTCTAGCCGGTAATGTAACTTCATCGATGTGTTCCGCCAGAGCAAGTGCCGACACAATCAATCGACCTTTTCTCTCTCTCTCTCTCCCTTACTCTTTTATTGACTTATTTTCTCACTTCTTCCTTTGTTTTCGCAGCATCCTTCCTTTAAAATTAAATTCTTTCCGCTCCAAATACATTTACACCAATTGGCTTAGGTACATAAGCTTAAAATCAAATTTACTTCCAAGTTGAGCATTGAGTGAACAATGAAATCACAAAGCAACCAACTATCAAAGAAGATAATAATTTTAATGGCTTCTTTTTGACCACAGGTTAAATACAATATTTCTCCAGTGTTGTAGTTGGAGAAAATAATTAATCTTAGCATCTACTTTTCTAATTTTTCCAATAATACACGAAACCTTGATTCAATATATTAGGCCAAGATTGGAAGCCAATGATTTAATAATTCCCAGCACGATAAAAACATGTGCACGTAAATACTGATCATGCTCTGATGCAGAGTTTCATTCATGAACCTCACTTCCGTTATTATTTACTTAATGCAAAATTATTTATCAATAATTACAGTAAGTTTTTAATACAACATTACTTTCTTCAATTTAGTGATTAAAATTCTTCTTTAATTATTTGTTAATACATTGACAGGGAATTTTAGAAACCTTGAAACAACCTGGAAAAGTCGGGGAATTTGGATCGAAATTCTGGAAAATTGTTGTTTTCTAAAGTATTATTGTGTTTACTCTTGAAATCTAATTTTACTTAAATATTTCAAAATAAATTCAATTTTAAAAGAGTTGTTTTTACATTTCTCATAAGTAGATGTTTTAGTTAAAAACACTAAAAAAAATTGAATTACAAATGCAATTACAAATTATTGCAGAAATTCAATTATTTTCAAAAATGTTAATAAAATTCTTGGTAAAATTTTAATTATTTTCAAAAATTTTCCTCATTTCAATGATATTTAATATCTATACTACTTTAATAAAAATTCCCAAAAGAATTCAATTAGTTCAAAATTATTTTAATAAAATTCTACGCAAACATTTCTCGTTTTTTGTATTTTTTTAAATAACTTTTTTCTTTCTAGAAATTTGAATTAATTCTTGTGAAAATTATATTCTTGGCATGAAAACTATAATCGATTGATGTGTACATATATTATGTATAAGTACTTTCCCAATATTTATAAAATTAATCGCTACTTTTATTTAAAACAAATTCAAATTTCGTATTTGTTGAAAACGCAAATTTTGTTTTGGGTTTCTGAGGTTCTTTGCCTGGTTTTCATTTCTTGACTATCGCCTTTCAGAAGAAAGGTTGCATTTTCCTGTTATTGTATAAAAGTTTCAACTCTTGATTTATTTACTTTTTTGTTAAAGTAGAGGAATAATTGAAGAGCAATTAGGAATAAAAAAGAGGAAAAGAAAAGAATAATTTTTTGTTGTCAGACAAGACACTAAATCAAGGGACTTCCGTCGCGAATCAAGGACACTCGTGAAGCTGAACCTCGAGGCAGGCACGTATGCTCGATCCCTTCCTGTTTTCAGAGTGAAAAGCCAGAGAAGAGGAAATTGATATATCTTTGTGTCCCGTGAACCTCCACTTTTCTATCTGGGGCTAAAGGAATAAATTGAGACACGCGCTACCATTGTGAGGGTTCCTTGAAACAAACGAAGAAAAATGATAATAAATTGAATCAAGACGAGTCTCGATGAGTAGTTGAATAACTTGTCTGGATCCCGGCTTTACTTTCCCGAAACTCTAATCAAAGGTCTTGAGTAGTCTTGAGTAGTCTTGAGTAGATTTTCAGAGCAATCGATTGAAATTGAAATAAAAGAAAAATTGGGGGTTTTCGTATATAAATAATGGAACAAAGTGGAAAATTGCGTAATTCAGGTCTGAAATCAGTCCATTATGAATATTATGAATGTTCAATTAGTTCTTAAGGCAACTGAGGGATCTTGTTAGTAGAAACGCTGCTATGTCGAGAACGAAAATGCGTATATATATATATATATATATATATAAGCTAGTGAAACGTGCACAAATGAGGCTTCGCGTGCACCATAAAGCGAATGAGAGAAGAGAATGAATAGACGAGAAGAGAAATTCGAGGGAGAGAGAGAAGGTAAACGCGGCGAAGCTCGGAACCGCTCATCAATGATGCAAAGCAATCAGCGCAATTAATTACAGCGGCGCTAAGCCCAGCTTAGCGAAAAACACAAATTAATTTCCTAAACTCATAAAAATTCATGGTTCTCTCTCTCTCTCTCGCTCCATGTCGCGTCAAACGACAACAGAGTTTGCATTGCAGCTTTTATGTTTTGCAACAGTGACCATTTTATCATTTATGTCCGCAAAAATCGAGTTGAAACCCTGCAAACTATTTTATAAATTGCATACAAACATTTTCACCAGTTTCTCATTTCACTTATTCATTATGATAATCACTTTTCAACCGATCCTACAAGTAGGTATGAGAAAGTTTTGTCTCATTATAAAAATGTCTTTTTTATATATATATATACTAATATAACTTTTTAACTTTTATAATAACAACTTTTCATAATTCACCGGGTTCTTATACCAAAAAGTCAATTATTCACTGAAATAAAAATTCATTTCATTCAAATAAACGATTGCTTGTCTATTATCAAATAAATATTTGTATCAAATAATTTTCAAAGTCAATTGAATGGTATTTCATATACTGAAATTCAGCACCCGGATTAAAAAACTCAATTTGTGCTCGAACGGAGTGTTTTATTTAGATAAAAAAAAGAAGAAACATAAATTTGAAAATGAAAATTTTCAAATACCCTTGTAGAGAATGAAAATGCGCAACTTTTTACATAATTTAAATAAATAATTATTGTTATTTACTGGCTCCTTACACCAAATAGGGGTCGTTCAAAAAATATGTAACGCTTTTAGGGGGGAGGGGGGTCAAGCTATTTGTTACAGTCAGCAGAAAAAATGGCGTTAATGTATATACAACATTGCGTTACATGGGGGAGGGGTGGGGTCAAAATATCCGAAAAATAGGGTTGCGTATTTTTTGAACGGCCCCATACCTATAAAGGAACTTGCAGTTTTTTTCCAACTGTGCAATAATACTCTGTTTGATTAATAGTAAAATAAGAAGAAAATCTGTATGTTTCTAGGTGCTTGATGTAGGAAATTAGTATATATAAAACAATTATTTGTTTAAACAATTGCTGAATAGTTGAATTCATTGAATAATTTTCATTTTATACTACTCAGCTTTCAGTTAATTGCAAAATCAGAAGAAACCTGCAAGTTTCTAAATGTTTTGTGTTAGAAGTTAGTAAATGACAACAGTTAGTTGTCTAAGCAATTCTTGAATCGATAATTAAATGTTTCATGTTTATGTGTTATTGTAATTTGGTCGATAAATTACAAAATTCCAAAAAACTGCATTTCTCCAAGTGTATGGAGAAAGAAGTAACAATAATAAATTGTTTAAACTTTAAACAAATGAAGACTATATAAACATAAAACATTATAACATTTGTAAAACATAAAACGCTTGCAGTAAAAGTTATTAATTATTTCCAACTTGTTTGGAAAAATTTAAGAATAATATTCTTCAATATTTTTGTGCATGAATTGGCAAATGTTATGAATATAAACAATAAAATGTGTAAAAAAAAACTTTTTTACCGTTTTTCGAAAGCTTTGTAGATTTTGTTCAGCACTGTAAAAAGAAAGGTACTAATTTAGTACCAAAATTGGTACTAAATCGTAATTTGGTTCTATATTTTAGTACCGAAATCCGCTCTAATTTAGAACCTTTTTTTTATAGTGAGTGACTTAAAAGTTTGTTTAATTTGGTGCAAAACTCTAGTAGGTCAATATTATTAATATGCGGACTGACCCCTCTAAGATGGGATTTGGTCTATAGCTAAAAAAATTATTTGATTCAAGTAAATATTTATTTTCATGTTACACAAATAATCTATTATTTGAATCAAATAAATTATTTTTTCAGTGTATACTATTTGAAAAGTAAACTGACTTAAAACTCCTGACTCAAATTAATTTCAAATACTGCTATTAAAAGTGTATAAAGTAGAAAATGTCTGACGTAGCTTGTCTTTTACTACTTACCATTGAAACACAAATTACAAGAGTGTGTTAAAGGTTTTGTCTGACTAAAGACAGTTGAACTACTGAAACGATAGTTTTGAAAATTTGTGTTTGACTGGATTTTTCATTTTTTTATAGTGTTAATTTTCAATAGAAAAGACAATTCTTTTCAAATCATTACTTTTCTTGTACAGTTTATATGTACCACTTGTTTAAAAAAAACCGCATACTTTTTCACCCTGAGATAATTATAAGGCTTTGAAACATCATTTGACTGAAATTTTTTTCTTTCTTAAATTTAAGATACAAGCTACTCTGCTTACCATCCGGCACTTCATGGAGTCAGTGAAGATTCCTTCGTGAGAAGAAAGCAAAGAAGAAATAGAACAACATTTTCTTTACAACAACTTGAGGAACTCGAAAATGCTTTCGCTAAGACTCATTATCCGGATGTTTTTACCCGAGAGGATTTGGCCATGAAAATTAATTTAACTGAAGCGAGAGTTCAGGTGAGACCGAAGAACAAAACTTTGTTTCTTGAAAAAGAAATTACTTTCACTTTTTCTAAGGATATGAATTTCAGACGAAAAACGTATTGCAACACTTTCGATTGGTTTTTTGTCTCAATTTGACATCCTTATAAAAACTGTGTCTTCTCAAATATTTAAAAACATTAATTTTGTTTAATATTTGAATTTGGAAAAATTTAAACAGAAAAAAAGTTTTTTGGATTAAAAATAATTTTTTGAAGGCAACAATTAACAGTTGTGATGTGATAAATAAGATGTATATATGAACAGGGTTAATATGTAAGAAAACAAGAAATAACACAAGGGGCATCATGCCCCCTCGGGGCTTGCTAACACCCTCAACCTGACGTAATCTTTTGACAATGGTAAGCCGGTAATCTCCGGGATTACTTTGTACTCGGCACTGCTTACGAGCAGCATTTTACACGTGGTGACTCGTCACAGTCTATTCTATAAACACCTACATAATTATTATCAGATTTTATGTGTGAATTCTCAGTTTTTAATCCTCCATTTACTAAAGTCGCAATTTATCATTTCTCGTATATTGTGTGTCAATTAGATTCATTATTAACTAATAGAAGTAAATTGTTATTACCTATATAGTATATACACAGCTTTCTCAATCAGTTGAAAATAATTGCGAGGCGAATAATTTCCAATTAATAAGCATAAGTGCATAAAAATAAGCCCCAAATCTGTTTGAAGCAGAGATCGAGGCCAGCAAGCCAAAATATTTATTTATGAGCATATAATAGAAAAAAAGTTGTTTATAAATGAAACAAGTTGAAATTGTGATTTGAATTCAAATTCAAGTGGAAGAAAGATAAATTTGTAAATTGTAAGATATGCAAGGAGTGGGAGGACAGTTTTAGTATAGAGCATAATGGGGTATAGTACAGAGCCCCAAGTATGACGCAATTACGGCGCAGACTCATTGTTTCATTAGTGAAGACAAAGAGAATCTGGAATAATGGACAAATAGGCGCGCTTATGTAGTGCTTTCTCCTACTCCAATTAGATGCTTCTGGGGGGCCCGACGAAGCACGTTCTCCTCACACGCGTCACATAAACTTTACTCTACATACACATGCACAATTACAAGAGCAATAAATCTTGCTTTTTTTGCAAATTTTACTCTTCTTCAATATTATATTCAATTATTGAATAAATAATGTCGGATGAAATTTGCAGAATTGATTTGAAAAAGGAAGAAATTCTTTAATTCCATTAAGCAAACCGTATATATCAAGGATTAAATTTCCAGTGTAAATTCTGAATACAGTAGAAACGGTGGAAAATATATGTATAGGTAGCTGTCGAGAAAGAGTATAGAAGGGGAAGGAGAGGAGACTACGGTTAGTCCCAGGGGAATGAAGGCTTTGTTCCCAGCTATTACTCGCCTCCGCAACCCTTAGGATATTATTATATCTTCCCGTCTGCCAACGGTCTCTACATCACTCCAATACTCGCGCGTTCTTGGCGCTTCAAAAACCGCACTAGGTATACCTATAAAAGAAGCAAAGCTCATCGTATTTATTTTATTAAATCATTTTCCAACGATACTCATTTTCTCACGTACATTTGACATTTTTACCGGCGAAAGCAGGCGAAAGCCATTTTTCAATATATCGTCCGATCTGTACCAGCCTCGAGTTTTAAAACAATAATCAAAGATCTATAAATGTTTTCCCATAAAAGTCTACAACTTGAAAAATATACATTTAAAACAAGTGCAACTTGTCGCAAGTAGAATATTTTCTCATTCATCTCAGACTCATAATTAGATTTCTATTGGTATGGTTTTCATACTGACAGGTGTGATTCACGTACAAGCTCAAGGTGGGAAATGAAAAATAAAATTTTAATGAAACTAGAATTATCCAACAGTCCCAAAAATAAATAAATGAAATAAAGAAACACTTATTTTGTGAGATACATTTTCTATAAAATTACGATGGCGGTGTCAAGAGTTAAGTAATGAGTTGAATAGTAATTGGATTATTTTGCGCAAAAAATGGACGTATGTTATTTATGTGGCGCTAAAGCAGAACAAGTTCTAAAAAAAAGAAGGGAAACCCAGGAGACTGCTGGAGTATAATAAAGTCTATTTCAGTTGGCATTATGTCAAGTTAGCCTCGTTAGAGAAACTCGAGCTTTTTAAAATACACTCGAGGACAGTGGTTGCTGCCGGCTCGTTGAACATGCACACCAACCCTTGCTACATACTTTGTTCTGGATGCAATTGACTATGCGTTTGTTGATAGCCAGCACCCCGCACCGGCCCCATACTAATTCTTCCTCTTTCACTTTGCACCTTTTCTCTTATTTATTGTTATTCATATACATATTTCTGACTCTGTGATGGGAAATCCTATAGGAAAACTTGCTTTTCTTGTACATGCAATAATTGTAATATATTATGGATTTAAATCCTCTAATTCAAATATACAGACAGTACAAATAATATAATTGTTTTTTAACAAATTTTTTATTCATTTATAAATTGTTTCTATTATTATCAATTCAGCTCTGAAGCGAGAAATTATTTCATTAATATATTCAGTATCAAATTCTTTATAATCATCATTACCTTATTACGGTGATCATTATCAATTTAAAGCCATTCAAATGACGAAACGATCTAGGGGAGACTAAAGTCCTTAACATGACATGATCGAGTTTCATAAAAGGAGAGTCAGCTTTTAAAACAAGTACCACTTTAAACTGAATTAAATTGTAGTCCATTTCGTATTACACAATTATCAATATTATATTTATTCACTGATTATCAATTATCATTAATCTTTTATAATGTTAGTGAAATTATATATTATATATATACTTACTTGCAATATTAATTTTCATAAAAATGTTTTTTTTCACTCTCATTATATTATAATTATATTGACATTTCAATAACTGATACATATAAATTTATAATTAATGTAATATTCATTTAAGAAAATGAAATTAGCATTTACTTTATCTGATGTATATAGATAGTGTTTCTCATTAAATACAAAATCACATAAATTCAGCATTGATTTGGTTTAAAAATGTTGCATCTTAACTAAAGACTTCATTTTTGCCTTAAAATAATAGACGTTATATTTACTGTGATAAACGTCTGTATAAAGAATATGACACTTTTAAGTCTTCGGTAAAAAAATCCAGGGTTGCCGCGCGCACGCAACCTGGAAACCTGCAAACTTGGAAATGTCAGAGAATTTTGATCGAAATTCTGGAAAATTGTTGTTTTCTAAAGTTATTGAATTTATTCTAAAAATCTAATGTTACTTAAATATTTTAAAATTAATTCAATTTTAAAAGAATTAGATGTTTTAGTTAAAAGAATTAAAACAAATTGAATTTTCAAGCAATTACAAATTATTGCAGAAATTCAATTGTTTTGAAAAGTAGTAAAATTCTTTTCAGAAATTCAATTATTTTGAAAAATTTTAATAAAATTCTTGGCAAAATTTTAATTATTTTCAAAAACTTTCTTGAATTCAATATGATTTTTAATAGCTACTACTTTAATAAAAATTCCCAAAAGAATTCAATTAGTTAAAAAACATTTTAATAAAATTCTACACAAACATTTCATTATTTTCATAAATAATAAAATTTTTTACAGGGATTTATTTATTTTTATAAAAAATGAAACTCATCGCAGAATTTCAATTATTTTTATTTCTCGAAAAATGAAATTATTCTTAAAATTTTTATTAAAATTTGTCAAGACAATTCAATTATTTATAAAATTTGTTGATTAAATTCTTTATGAAAATTCATTTTTAAGAAACATAATTGAATTTTCAAAAAGTTTCAATTTAAAATCTTTGAAAATTTGAACTTTTTATAGGTACCTATACTTTTAATTAAGAATTTTGCAGAATTAATTTTTTTTCAAAAAGTTTAATGGAATTTTTTTTTAATTATTTCAAGTTTTTAATTTTTAATATATTTAATTTAAGAATGTCAGAATAATGAAAATTTCGTAAAATTAAATTGTAAAAAAAAGAATTTAAAAATAAATTCTCAAAGAACTTTTTCAAAAATTGACTTAAATTTTTCTTAATTCCTATGGAAAAATATAAATGAGTAAATATTTATTTAAAAATAAAGTTCTTTAGAGTCAGAGAAAAAGTGAAAGTTTTGTCTGTAAATCAGAGAATTATTTAATTGGGTAAAATATAAGTGTAGGTATTTTAAAAACCTGGAAAAATTCCGTTTTCTAACCTGGAAAACCTGGAAAAGTGAGGGAATTTGAAAAGAGCAAAAGCGTGACGAATTTATTTCGTGGATTTGCCTGTATATATTTAATTATCAAAGAAATGAATACTTTTTTTTCTGTAAAATGTAAATAATGAAGGGATTACGTTTTCTAGGTTTGGTTTCAAAATCGGCGAGCCAAGTGGCGAAAGAGCGAGCGCCTTCGGGAGGAGCAAAATAAGCGTGAAAGCGATGGCAATATGCCACCGAATTCGCCAAGTAATTTAGTTACAATTAGTGATGTGCTGGAGAACAGAAGTCCAATTGATGACGACGATTGTCCGAGCCGTAAACATAGTCCAAGCAGTCCAAGTACAACGTCGGCGTCAGTGAGTCCAAAGCATCAACCGCAGATTCAGCCGCCCCTGAATCCGGGCGACGCGACGCCACCGCCAAACCCCACCCGTGACTTACCGCCGTCGAGAGCAGTGGATGTCCCGCAGGGACCTCCTGGAGAGAAGAGGTGAGCTTTCAACTTTGTGCGTGTATTTACGTCTTTAGGAAATATCACCCGAGATCTTATGAACCATTCGCACGGACTCGACTCGGAAGTCCAACACGCGCCATTAAACTGCACTCCGACTTGTTCCGGGCGAAATTCACCAGCGATATGACGGCGGAAGTTGCCATTCTACATCGTACTTTTACATAATTCATTTTAATCTTCTTTTTCACTCATTGTGTCAGATTCATTACAGGACTTTTGCTAATTAGTGACATTGACTTTTAGGAGGCAATTTTTTTTACGAAATTGTCACTGCGTTGTACCCAACGAGTGATTCGATTGTGTGAGGAAAAGGACTCACTGGACTGTTAAATCGGATGTGGCAAAGATGAGCATGAGATATTAATGCGAGATATCTCAAAAGACGCTTTCTCGAAAATCTGCATCTTAAGAAAAGAAGAATGCGCGGAAAACACATAAGAGGTTCATTGGTGGGATAAAATGGTGAACGCGCGCTTCAGGGGCAGAGAAGGGGAGTTGGTTATAGAACTTACTCCTCCATCGTCTCCGCAGTTGTAATTTATTTAAAACTGCTCGCCGTAAATATATCCTCATTATTTATTCAGTTGCTCCTGGCTTGGTTCGGGGTGAAAAGAGGGGCAAGAAGAAGAGGGGGTCGTAGGTGCCGGGGAAGTTAGAAGGGGATGAAACTGGTAAGCTTTGAATTTCTCCTTTGCTTTTCCATGTTGCAGCAAGGTGGGTATACACTACAACCCTCGTCCCCTTTTGGTCTCTTCTTTACACACCGTATCAAGAAAGTGAACCTCCTATCGCAGTATGCGTAACATACTGCGTTATCGTGCTGAGACTCTGCTACTTTAACGTCATTGAATTTTAAATAAAGGCCTTTAATGGATTGTCTTTACGGACCGTGCAGTTTCAGACATTACACTTCTTTTGTACACCTTGCATCTAAAATGCGATTATTTCACACAAAGCCCTCTTTCTTTTCTATACTTTTCGTTAGTTTGCCAACAGTCGAAAGAAGCTTCTTGTTGATGAGATCCTTTTACTGTATTAGCTTCGGGTGCACTGTTCAAATTAAAAGCACGCCGCGGTCCTTGTAGAGGAGTAGCTTTTTTAAAAGTAGTTTCTGTGAGTATAAGATCGATATTTATTTAGTAATAATAATAATAATAATAATAATAATAATAATAATGTAGGTGAAGGGACACATTGCAGCTAATTGCAGCTAATTGCAACTAATACAGCTCTCGGAGGCAATAACCATGACTCTGAATCTCTTCTCCTCCTTCTTTGGATTTTCTCGGGTGGCTCTCTCACTTGTGTAATTTGCTTCTTGCCTTAGCCGTGGCTTTCACCCCCCACCAAGCTGCCACACTCCTCCACCTGCAGCCCCAGCCATTAACCAGGATGCCAGTTCGCTCGTTACATTAATTAACCAATATTTGCGATTAATATTTGAGATAATCATCAGCGCTTCAAAGCAGAAGCCAAGTTGTTCCTTGAGGCCGCGGGGTGAGCGTCAAGCTAGTAATTGGGTTAACGCTTTCAGGTTTAGCGGAAGTAGTTTCAAGGTACACTTGACTGAATCATAAACGTTGCGCGAATCAAATATCAAGAGAAGTGTTTAATCTCGCAGCTCTAAATTTCCATGATGGAATTATTAGAGATAAATTTACAGATGTTATGATTCATTATTAGATGTTCGTTTTACAAGTTTATATTTTTGACTTATACTTTCTACATGAATATTTTCTTTTGTTCCAGCACTCCGAGTTTTAGCACGCCTTCAGCTGGATTCAGGCCAGTGGATCCACCGACGTCTCTGTTCTTCTCACCGCATCTGACACAGTTCTCACCACCACTTTTTAGTAACAAGATCATTAGCACTACACCCACGTCATTGACATCAGCAACGCCTTCTCTGTGGACTACGAGTGATCATCGACCCAGCAGCATACAAGAAATGCTCTCCTGGTCACCCACAGGATGGCCTGGCTCCCTCTGTGGATGCTGTAAGCCAGGGTCGGGAGATCTTCCTCGAACTACGAGTTTAGCCGAACTCAGAAGGAAAGCCCAGGAGCATACCACAGCGTCAGCTCTACTGGGGGGACTCGCTGCATTTCCCGGTGGTCTTCCATTGCCTTTGCCTTTGCCTCTCCTACCACCGTTATTGGGTCTTGCCAGGCGGCACGAACATCATTTGCCAAACATTGCTCACCAAATACAGTCTACTACCAAAGAAGATCCCTAAAGTTGACGACATGTATTAATTGTTGATTTGTTTTACTTGTCTTTTGTCGAGTTATTTTTTATTTGTTGCGTATTTCAGAGCTGCTGTCGCGAACAAGTTCGGAAGACAGCTTATGTATCTTTTCACCGCTGCTTCGATCACGTTTGAACGTATAATTCTCAGAGGCACAAGTTTTATAGCAAACTGAACTCTATCTGACTCCCGGAGGACCAGCTTGTGCCTGCTTGTACCGTGACAATAGCGATTTCATCCTCCATAGGATGTTGTCATAGATATAGACATTAGGTCTCAATTTTCAAGGAGAAGTGATCACCGCGTGCGGGCGTCTTTTTAAGATTTTCTTATATATTCTGTGTATATATAGTAATATAAATTGGAATAGTTTTGTACTTAATAAAAGTTACGAGTCTCTCTCTCTTTCTCTCTCTCCACTCTATAATTACCACAATGCGTGAAAAATCCATACGCGCACTTTTCGAACAAGAGAGTGAATTATAACTTTTAATAAGTGAAATTATACTTACTCAAATTTAAAGAGTAGGATTTACTTGAGCACAAAATTAATTTTCCGCTCTTCTGAATAAGAACGAACAAAGTTGTCTAAATGTAGCAATGATAGAAATGTGTATATTATGTTTTTTGACTGTCACCGTTGATAATTCAAGATTGACTTAACGAAAAGTATATTACGTATATGACTAGATATATATGTAGAAAACACTAAAGGTAGTGCCATCTAATAAACTTGTTCTTGTGATGAAGAAAATTGATGTTTCACTAAATCCTTTCATGTCGTCTTTTTCCGCATATGAAATTATTGCATGCACACTTGTAAAAATTTTCAAAGCTCAAACACAATTTTTCAAAAATACAAAAATACAGATTAGCAAAGATTTTTATCATTATAAGTTTTTTTGCAAGTTCATAATAAAAATAACTTACTTACCTTTTGCTTTTATAAAAAAAAAAAAAATGAAAAAGTACAAATTGAAATCGGAATTTGCCTTTCATTTGACTCTGATTCACATATACAATCTAGTTTGGAGCAAGTTCATTTACCGCCAATTTAACGGACTCTGGCCGAACGCGAGAGGGGTTGTTAGCATTTCATTCGGACACACACTCGAGTTGTCCAGTATATAAAGATGGTAACTTTGAAACTGGTAAGAAAAAGGACACAAGTTGAAAACGAAGAAGGAAAAAGAATGTTGAGTTTGAAAACGGAGGAGGAAGCAATTAGTTAGGGAAGGAGGGCATACACATATTTTGAAAAAGGTAGGAGCCAGTTTGAAAGAGGGAAGAACAGCAGAAGCAAGTAGAAGCAACTAGAAGGGTTGTTGGCAATCAATGCTCCTCATATAAGAAAAGCTCACCCTCTCTTATGGGGATGAACCCTCTTCTACCTACTCTCGGGGATGCAGAGCGACGCAAGGGGTTGGTCCCGACTCGACCAACCAGAGACAAGACGCCATTGATCGGCACGTGGCTCCGGTTGGCCCACGAGTGTTGACTCACTGGAGGGGGAGGGCGAAATCCAGAGGGTGGGGGGATCGGTGGTCGAGTCGGGAGGGAGGGTGAGGTAGACAAGTTCTACACACTCCGTTACACTTACTGGTAAACCGTATTAATCAACGACATCATGGTTTATCCACCCATTCCTCTCCGTCTCCCACCCTCCGGACAAAGCTCGCTCCCTCTCACTCTGTGTTCGCGTGTGTTTCTACATGACCTTACGACACCCTCCCGTCATTCCGCCTGATTCCGCCATCGGAGATCGCTGCGGCCCGGCGCGGCGCGGCGATAAAGAATCTGTAGACAGAGAAAGATGGAGATTAAAAGGATAAAATGCTGAGTGGTTAAAAGGAGCAGAAAATAGGCGCCAGACCACTTTGAACGAGACGATCGCCTCACAACGACATTTTTTAAATTTCCTTTAAGGATGAATATCAATACTTTTATTCTATGGCAAAATTTCACTGCCTTCATTTTTACTTGAGAATCCGTTCTTTATTTTAATCATTTCATGTGACTAAGAAAGGAATTATGTATATAATTTTTCTTCTTTGATGACTATTCTTTTAGTTATATTAGTGGGTGACAAATTAATGCAAAGGGAAATAGGATGGTAGGAAGGAAGGAGCAAGTGGATTTGAAAATTGAAAATCATTGCTGCTCTTGATCCTCTTACGACGACGAGACATCGTCGATAAATTCTCTTTTCTTTCTCAGTACTATTTGGAAAATCCTTTAATGCGCACTGCGGATCTTTTCCATCCTGTTTCTTTAGCTTTCGATGGGGTCGTATTCCTGATTCCGTAACGGCTTATTGGAAAGACCTTTTATATTTATCGGGAAAAACTATTTGCCATTTTAGTTAGAGCTTTTCAAAAGAGTAACTATATTGTAATACCTATTCATTTGTAATCCCATCTATTTTTTCTGCGATGAATGAAACAGAAAGTCGGTAAAATATAAGCTATAGACGATTTTAGTTTTTATTAATAAACACTAAAAATGAATGTTTTAATCAAGTTTTGAGTTGTATATTTTAAGTCCCAAAAATGGGTTGAAAAGAGAAATTAAAGTTGCTTTGTGTTAATTGTTTACCCAGTAACTTGCTTTCACTTAATGAATCCGTTTTGTCAATTGTTAAAAACCAGATGTGAGTGATTATATTTAGTATAATGTGTAATGAATTCGCGTATGGGATACAAAGCAAAAATGAGAAAATATTAAAATAAATTTCTTGGAAAGAATATTCAAGATGTTTTTATCGCGAGGCATTTAAGGAATAATGTAGCATGTCAGATGAGAGTGGCTTAATGGGCAATGAAACTATAGTTTCATTGCAACTTTGTAAAACTTCTTTTTCAAGTTGATGCAAGTTGATGCAAGTTTCTAGGCAAATGATTGCCTTTTAACGAAAGTCGTCGCACCCAGACGCACCACAAAGTAGCCGCGTATTTTTCCTAATTCCATCTCGAGTCGGCCGGAAGAAGGCGTGTGGAGATCGAGTGAGGGTGCTTCGCGGGCATCATATCGTGCGAGAGGCGGAATGGCAGCTTTGAAATGCAAATTGCCTGACAATGAATTTCGTAAAACCTTTTACCGTACGGAGGGCGCCATGAACGAATAGAATAGAAGGAGGAGGAATAGCTGTCAGAGGGGAGAGCGGAGGAGCTTGAAAATTTCCACAACGATGAAGGAGAAAAGCTGCAAGATGACATCGCAGTATTAATCACTGTCTCATGAGAACGCTAATATTCTTGATATTCTTGTTTCTACCGCAAGACATTTTCATTTTCATCATATCAAATTCTATTAGATTCCCATCTATTGAAATAATTTCCTCTCAATTTTATAAATGTACACTGACAAGAATTTATTTCTTTCCATTGCGGACTGTCATACATTTTTTGAGTCAATCAAGTGATTACCTATTTGCTTTAAAAATATAAAAATTATTGGTTTAAATAGAACTCCATATAAGAATCCTTAGGAGTCTACTAATAATAATAAATAATTATGGATTAATCAGACTTAAAACTTTGGTCGATACACAAAATAGAGTTATTAGAACTTAAAATTATACTTTCAAAACTAAATTTTAGTTATAAATGATTCTAATATAAATGGTTTCAGTCAAAAATGGGGTGATAGTAATAAGATTTATTTTTTACAGTGTGATTTTTATGCTTTTGTGTTTCTAATATGAATGAGTAATTTTTTACTAATATTAAAGACGGCACGTATTTGTTTATTAATCAAATAGAAAAGTATTTTACTGAATTTTCTTCGCACAAATTCAATTATTTGCAAAAATTTTCCTCTTTTTAATGATTTTCAAAATTTACTAATATAATAAAATTTGCCAAATGAATTCAATTATTTAAACAAAATTTTAAAAAAATTCTACGCAAACATTTAATTATTTTTATAAAATAATACAAATTTTACAAGAATTCAATTATTTTCATAAATAATAAAATTTTTACAGTGATTCAATTTTTTTCGTAAAGAAAATTCTTTTACTACTTATTAATATAGAAAAATAACAATAATAGGATATAACGTCTGATCAAAACATGTCTTTACTACTTATTTTAGAAAAATACAAAAAATAGGATATAACGTCTGACCAAACCATATTTTTACTACTTATTTTGAAAAAATTCGAAAAATAGGATATGACACGTCTGACTAAAATTGGTTTTTACTACTTAATTTAGAAAGATACGAAAAATAGAATATGACTTTTTTAAAAATTATAAAAAGTAATTGATTTAAAGAAGAATGTTAGTTAAAAGTTCTAGGTAATAATAATTGAATTGAAATGATGAAAATAATTGTGAACAAGTACAATATTTTTATAATACAGAATGATTTTATCACTCGGTCCTGTTTTATGTTATGAAAAATAAATTTAATTTCTAGTTTTAAATAAAATGTTCTCTTATTATCTGACTCGGACTGCTTATATTGTTGTCAGTAATAATTGGTCCGTAAAGTCCGTATTTTTAAATACTAGTTTCACTGGTTCGAGCTCTGCAATTGAAGTAGAAAAAAGTACAACTTTTACTACATGATTTAGTATAGTTTTCTATTGACAAATAGTAGCTTTTTACTAAAAATTATTCAAAACTTTTACTAGTTCAATTATTGGTATACGAATCCTCATTCTTTCATTAGTATAGAAAATAACTTATTCAGATTTAGAGAGTACATAATAACCATTTTTAACTGAATTGAAGTCTTAAAAGTATAATTTTAAGTTCTAAAATTATAGGCTTAAAAAGTGGCTACTATAGTCAATTATTTTGATTTTAAGATGTAAACGGTTTCAGACCTTGTTTTTTCTGTGAGATTTAGAGAGAAACCATATAACATAAGCGCTCGCTCATTATGGCTTAAAAAGTGACAGTTTCAATTGTTTTCCATTTAAAAACTTATTACAGTTTGTTAATTGAAAAATAATTATATTTTGTTGAGAACTTTTAAAAATTCAACAAATATTGGGAAGCTCAATAGTTGGAATAATAAAAAAGAGTAAAAATAATTAAAGTGTTTTCATATAAACAATTTAATTGTGTATAATGAAATGATTGAACTTGACACAGAATAGAAATAATGAGATTCTCTTTGGTTAGATAAATTCACCGCGGATTGAATGACACGAAAACAGGTGCACTAATGTAGTTTTCCTGCCTCAGCAGCATGTCAGTTGTATATTATAAAGAATCTACAGAAATTGTCATTGCAGAATAATCTAATGTATGAATTTTTGTACGAAATTATCAGCAGCAGTTTATCGATATTAACACACGGTGTCGTATATCCTTCACCACCCCAGGATAGTATTATCGAGATTGGTTTCACCCCTTTACCTCAGCTTTCCTCTTGCTCAGTTCGTCCCAATCACACCGGCAGCCGTTAAGTGCGATCCATTACGCGTAATGGAATGCGCCAATTATAACATTTGCTGAATAATTGGCGGCAGCTCGGCTATACATATACTCGGCCTGGTATATTGGATGGCTTAATAATTGGGGGAAGGGGTAGGGAGGCTGGAAAATGGAACGGACGTAAAGGGTTCGAGTGGGTGGGCCAAAACATCAAATAAATCACTTAATAAATTTTGCGGAAGTGATGGTAAACGCTAAAAGGCCAGTCGTCGTGACCATACTCCATTTTACAGTTTACTCCATTCTGTATACGAGTAGTTCAAAACTGCCCGCCTTTCAATCTGTTACATAATATTATATTCGTTAGTTGATAATCACTAGTTTTCTGAAAAAGTCTTTTCTCTACGAAATATTAATTCAAAAATTGATATGTAGAAACATTTCTTATCCAATATATGTAATTTGATTTTGTTTTTGTACAGTAATAATAATAATAATAATAATAATAATCGTATCATTATTACTTGTTAATGTCATCATTTTGTGTTTTTGAAAATTTAATAGACTTGATTTCATCTGGCACATGGTAGGATACAATACACATTAAAATCAACTAGATGTGAAAACGACCTTATCTTTCGGATTCTCAGTGCGAATTGGAATTATCAGTGCACTCTCTGAAGCGGCATAATCATACTTTGCATACGAATGATATTGATACTAAATTTGCAAACAAGCATACATTGATTGTTAAAAAACAATGATTGGATAGCTTTCAGGGACTAATTGGGCCATTTGCAAGCACAGCACTAGATCACAGACAACAGCCACAGGACTCAGGTGTTATCACTGGCTGGTATTAAATTTATAATTCCATTAGGGACACTCCAATGCGACTACATTCGCATTTGCACTCAGTCCTTGTCATATAGAGCACAAATGAATCCATTCGCTCCATCTACCATTGTTGCACACACGTGCGTGCCCAGGGAGCAAGAGCAACTTCCGTCGACAAGCAACTAATAACCTCTTCGTAATGGGATTCTTTTGCAACCAAGTACAATAATTTGATTTATTACAATTAAAGATCAATTTTAATAAACTTGATATGTCAATAACGAAAAAAGAATGAGTTTCATGTAGTTTTGATTGTACCCCGTGTTGTTCGGCACGTGCCGGAAACGCGTTCCATAACAATATTCAACATTCAGTATGTAAAAAGGCACTAAAAGTTTTGCGAACCATTAAACACAATCTCGATTTCTCAACCAGCAACTCAACTTTCCCCTACTCTTTTTGTTATTGTGGAAGTGAAAATGAATACATAACGTGGAAAATAAAAGTCATATCTATTCTTTCGTAGTTTTATATCATCATTTTATTTTCCCCCTTAGCACATAAGGCACTGAGAAATTCGAATATGACTTTTGATAAAAATTCAAATCCTCTAAATTCAAGAGGAGTATCTAGTAAAAAAAAGCTAATAAAAGCAGTAAAAAAAATGTCCATTATAAGTCATATCGGTGTTGTAAAAAAATTCAAAGATGAGCTTCCAGTTAAGTCTTACGATGTACAGAATGTATGTAAAAAAAATGTTAACTTTTAATACCGCATTATTTTTAAATAATAAAAAAAGCAGAAATGCATGAAAGATGTTGTAAATTTACTCATAGGAGATCTTCCATTTTGATCTTACGGCGTACAGCATTAGTGTAACCTTCTTTAAATTTGTACGTAACGTCAGTTTTAAATATTTGCACTTTTTTCACAGAAGCATTTTCCTGTAGAAAAGGTTCCGTTACATCGAATTGATGCTGTTCTGCAAACCTGGTTTGACCCGCGTCTTTGAATTGTTTAAAGAAGTCTCGATATTTCTGTCAAAATAAATGCAAAACATTGTTTATTAATAGACTTAATACGCGACTTTGATTTTCCAAAAATAAATTAATAGCGAAAAAAATAAGTAAAATATTTAAGAGGACGAAAGAGGCTTTTGACAATAAAGTAATGCAGAGCAAGAAGTAAAATCAACTTTTACGTGTTGGAAACATCATTAGTGTTGAAAAAATGTTTTTTTCAAAATTTTAAAGAAAGCAATTATTGGTATTCTCTAACACCATATTTTTCAATTAAAGAAGCACTCGAAATCTATTCTTGTCTTCTGCTCCTATAACAAAATTAAACCTTTCTCCTGTTTATAAATCTTTCCTTTCAATTTAATTTTCTTCATGAGATTTCACTAAAACTATTTTTTAAATTATCAAAATCCAATTCTAAATTGTAATTTAGAAGAATAATTTCATTTATTCTGCAAATTAATTATATTTTAATGTTATTTTAACATTTCTATTATAATTAGAGTTTAATAATAAGCTTTGTTGCAATTTATTTGTAAAACTTGAACGAAATACGCATTTTGCAAAAAAAAATTGCAACAAAGCTTATTATTAGACTCTAATCATAATAAAAATGTTAAAATATTATTAAAATAAAAAAAAACTTGCAGAATTTCCCTGACCCTAAAGAATATTCTAATTCACTCTAAAAATGATTGATACTCAAAAAACTGTTCTATTACATTTAATTACGAATTTTTTTAATTGTAAAATTATTCGAAAACATTAATAAATTCTCCCAGGCGCGAAAGACCAATGCTGACGATGGATTGAAGATTTATTGAGCCTTGAACGCCCAGCCTGGGTAACCCAGTGTTGAAGCAGTCTTTATACCACTGTCACTCAATGTTGATTCAGCATTGGACACCAATGTTCGTTCCATGCTCGATTCAAGACTCGGTCAATCTTCGTGAGTGAAGCTCGAACATCTGATCTTAATTCAAGCCTGAATCAATCTTGACAGTTTATTTATTGACGTGTGCACTTAAAAATATTAAATATAAATATTTATAATTTATAAATTAATTAATATTAAAATATTTTTTATGATAATTTTGTATACTATTTAAAAATTATTATTAATTATTATTATCAAGATATCAATTGGTAAATAAATATTAATATTTATTTAGTGTATAATATTTATATTAATTATTAATTTATTAATAATAATGATTATTATTATTATTATAAAAAAATATTAAATTAAAAATAAATATTAAATATTATTATTATTATTATTATTATAATAATTATTATTATTAATTATATAAGATTTATATAAATAAAGTTAAATTATACATTATTATTTTTTTCTTGCACAGTGTCAAATAATTGTATTCAAAGTTCAAGAGTTTCGTTTGTCTGAAAAATTTTTAGTGAAAAAAATGTTTATTAGGGTGTAATAAATATTTATGCCTAGTAGTTTTACACTAGGATTAACTGTTTAGTAAATATGTATTATCAAAAAACTATTTTTTGTCAAACGCGTGCGATTAAACACAAATAACCTTGAGACTTTAGCATTGCCAACTCAAGAGTTTAACGTATGTGTTGAGTTGGTAATGCTGGAGTTTCAAGGTTATTTGTGTTTAGTCGCGCGCGTTTGACAAAAAATAGTTTTTTGATAATATTTACTAAACAGTTAATCCTAGTGTAAAACTACTAAGCATAAATATTTATTACTACCTAATGAACATTTTTTTCACTAATAATTTTTCAGATAAACGAAACTCTTAAACTTTGAAATAATAATTTGACACTGTACAAGAAAAAAAATAATATATATAATTTAACTTATAAAATTATCATAAAAAATATTTTAATAATAAATAATTTATAAATATTGATATTTAATATTGTTCAGTGCACACGGTAATAAAGAAAGTGAATATTGTATCAAGATTGACCGAGTCTTGAATCGAACATGGGACGAACATTGGTGTCCCATGCTGAACAAATATTGAGTGACGCGCCGTATATACAGAATATACGGCGCTGGCATTGAAATAGTAGATTAGGCGAGGTGCCTTCCAGCCTTCTGTGGCCGAGCGGTTTAAATGCGTGCGTTTAGGACTTCCGGTATGCGTTAGGGGCGGGGTGCGTGAGTTCGATCCCACATGCGAGCGAATATTTTTCATTCTTTGTTTTAAGCGTTATATCTAATAATAAAATTGTGTGTTGTGTTGTGAATAAAAAATGTGAATATGTTTGTAAATAATATTAAAAAGTCTGCTGAAAAATCGAGAAAAAAATGTACCGATTAACAGAAAAATTGTTTTCTCTTACTAAAATTATTTTTTTAATATTACTATTTCAAATGACATTTATTGTTAGTAATATAAATTATTTATATGATAATAATATAATTATTATAATAGTAACTTAATGCCATTAAATTAACAAACGCATATAATATGAATAAAAATAATAACAATAATATTCATTACTATTATAATTATAATTATTACTATTATTATTATTATATACAATTCATATATCCATATTATATTGAATGAGCGCGAGAGACGCGTAAATTTGGGAACAGTGGAAGCAGCCTTGTTTCAGTCCTGCATTATAGGGTTCCGCAGCATTGATTGAACATTGAACGCCAATCTACAACAAAGACTGGAGCGTCAGTCTTAAATAAGTGTTACATTATAGCTAGAAGCAACCTTCGTTCCGCCGTCCCACCAAGGCTTGATCAATGTTGACCAAGCCTCAACGAAGGTTCCGTAAAGCCTGAATCCAGCGTCAGTTCTCGCCTGGGCTTTTATAAACAAATATTTAATCATTATTATTATTATTATTATTCCATAGGAATTAAGATTTTCCAAAAATTTCAAATTCAAATCTTTATGAAATTTAACAACTAATAATAATTTAAATTTACATAAAATTTTTCAAAAAAAAATTAAATTATTTAGGGTCATTTGGGGTAAATGTAAACAGTAGATGTTTCAGCTAAATTTACAAATTAAAAAATAAGTACGACTTCAATATTTTTACCTCAGCTCACCTACAAGATGTTCTGAGTATTGCCAATATTTTATTTTGACAATTGGCAATGCCATAGTGAAAGTTATTTTTTAATGCAAAAAAGATTGAAAATCAAAGTTTTACTGTTTCAGTATTTTGTCTCGCATTTGCATAAAAATAAATTTAAAAATCAAACAAAAATATGTAATTCTTCCTTATTAATGCCCTAACAAAAATTGACTTTGATTTTTGATTTTCGTCAATTTAGTTAATAAATAATTAAGTGTTTACATTTACCCCGAGAGTTCGAAAACTCGGAACCCATGTAAACAGAACTTGAACTACATTTTAAAAGAAAATAATTGAATAAATTTGCTTCTATTTTACAATTTTATTAATTTGGCAATGTAAAATTACATAAGAAAGGAAATTAGGTCCTCTTTAAAAAAAAAAAAATTTGATAAAAAAAAAATTTTTTTTTGAAAATTTTATCAATTTTTAAAAATATTTTTAGGTTCATCCGCCATTTTGAAAATTTAAAATTTGACTTCAAATTCGTATTCAGCGACCTCAAAAACCCCCGAGTAGCCAGATTCAAGCAAATTTGATCAATTTTTAACAATATTTTATGTTTGACCGCCATATTGAATCCACCATTTTGAAATTTAAAAATTCGATTTTAGATTCTTATTCAGCAACCTTAAAAACTTCTTTTTACCAAGTTGAATGAAAATCTATTAAAATTTGTTCAAGTTATTCAAGTTTTTACATTACTAGTTTTGTAATAGTTGATTGTTTATTTCATATGATACATTATCAGTCAACTGGTTGATTTACTATACATCTACGAAGAATTTTTTTTCAGTTTTTCCATCCCTTAAAACAGTAGTATACTTGAAATAACTTGTTTCTTAAACCTAGGCTTAACTACAGTGGTGTTTACATTTACCCCGAATTTTAGGAAAATTTCAAAATCTCGGGGTAAATGTAAACAGTCAGTTTTAGGCGATTCAGGTGCATCAATATTTTTTTGTACCTCATAAAATTTTTCTAGGGAACTCTAGTAACAAGTTCATGCAAAAGAAATCCGTCCGTTTTACCTTCTAACAAAAAAAACTAATGTTTTTCGTGAAAAATAGATATTCCGTTTACATTTACCCCAATTGACTCTACCTATAAAAATTTTAATAAAATCCTTCCCAAGAATTCAATTATTTTTACAAGTAATAAAATTTTTCACATGGATTTAATTATTTAAAAAAATGTAACAAAATTCGTTGTAAGAATTCAATGATTCTCCTAAATAATAAAATTCTCCACAGGATTGCAATTATTTTTAATAAAATTTTAAGTACAAATTCTTCGAAAAATGAAATTTTTTTTAAATCAATTTTTATTCGATAATTCTACGAGAATTTGATTATTTAAATACAAAACTAAATAATTTATTAAATAATTGAATGTTTCTTAGAATTGAATTCTTATACGTAATTTTATTAACAAATTTTTAAATAATTAAATTCTTTCGACGAATTTTAATAAAATATTTAATAATAATGACATTTTTCAAGGAATTCGATTAAAATTGTATTAAAAATAATTTCAATTCTGCAATGAGTTTTATTATTTATGAAAATAATTGAATTATTGCGAAAAATTTTATAAAAAAGTTTCAAACAATTGATTTTTTTCGAAAAAATTTATGCAAATTCTAGTTTAAATAATTGAATTTCTGTGAAAATATTATTTTTCTGAAAAATAATTGAATATTCGTGTAGAAAATTATGAAAATTTCTGTTTAATAATTGAATTTTGTCGCAGTACCTATTTTGTTATTTATTTATAAAGATAATTTAAATTTTGACGACAATTTTTTTTAGATTTTTTGAAAATAATTAAATTCTTGTGATGAACCAAGTTAATTATGTATGAAAATACATAATTTAATTTTGCAATTTGTAATTTAATTCTTCTGATGAATACTATTTTTTATTAAAATAATTGAATTTTGCAATGATTTTTATTAAAAATCCTGAAAATAATTGAATTTCTGCGAAGAATTTTATTAATTATTCTCCTAAATAATAATATTTTTCACAGGATTTCAATTATTTTTAATGCAATTTAACTGAAATTCATTTTTTAATCAATTTTTATTCGAAAATTCTACGAGAATTCAATAATTTGAATATAAAAATAAATAATTTATTGATAAAATGAATGTTTTTCGAAATTTTATTACTTTTGAAAATAATTGAATTTCTGCAATTATTCGTAACTGCACTTCTAAATTCAATTTTTTCCAGTACTCTAATAAAAATTCCTGACTCTCTGACCTGTGGCAATCCTGGAAATGTTGAAATATTTTAAAAATAAAAAACTTGCCTAGTTTTGGAAGGGGGTAAATTTTTCGCCGTGGGAGACAATGGCAATAATAATAATAATAATAATAATAATAATAAAGGGGAAAAAGAAATAAAGCAAAGAGAGCTATGGAAATGGGCGTGACAGCCAGATTGCGACGTCCGGCGTCTCGACGCTTTGAAAATACCAGCATCCACTTGTATAAATTCCCCTCATACACATGGGACGCCCGAACGATTATGTTTACCCCCGAAATATACACTCGACTTAACTGTTGTACTCCTTACCAGATTCACACACCACGGTTGCAAACGGTCTAGTATCTATAGACACGTGCCATCTATATCCGACTCGAACGTTTATTATCAAGGACCCTCTAATGTAGCCACTATTAGGACGTTTATGTCTACAAGCGGGAACTGCCCGCTTTCATCAACCGGAAGCACCCAAGAAGGAGAAGACAGAAAGCTGTTGTCTTATTGTCCACTCAACTGTAAGTGCTTCGCCCATTCTCTCCGTGGAGCAAATTAAGAGCTGCTTGCGACGCTTTACAAACAACAATTCTTCTCTAATACAAATTCCGCAGTCTATTATAATTTACGTTTCTATTCGTTTTGCGAATGTTCAAAAAAACACTTTCAGGAATGTAAACTATTTTAGATCGTACTATGTAATTAACAAATTTCCATCAGAAGTATCAGAACAAAAGAAACTCTATTGGAACTTATAAAAAGGATAAAATAATAAACGACCTACTTTCAGCTCATTTAACTGAATGTAGCCAAGAACTTGCTTAGTTTGGCGGTTCGTATACACAAACCCCGGTAAACAAGCTGAATAAAAGAGAACCAGTGACCCACTTTAAACAAGTATTCCTTTTTGAAAGAGCAACTTGAAACTATTTTCCCTAATTCTATACTCCTTCATTTTTGGCAGGGTATACTTGATGATTGTCGCACAAGAGGAAAAATGATTTTTGGAAAACTTGATGTAACTTGCGAACCCTGGTTTGCAGCAGTTTGCAGCAGTTTGCACAAGCGACATATATAACTACTTGGCTGTATGTACGCATACAAGTGCAAATCACCCTGGAGGTCGAGCCATCATAATATAGATTAGCTCATATGGCTCTCCCCTTGTGTTAGCTCGGATCTGGCTCTCATAGCCCCGAGTACTCTGGGATTCACTATTCATACACGCGACAATTAGATAGGAATTACTCCGGTATGTATATGCGAGGCATGAGCAGGGGTGGCGCGACGTTCTTAGTTGGCTGAACTGGGACTAGGAGGGGTTCCCTGAGTCAACCCCTAAGCCAGTGTAAACACGTTTTAATAGAGATTCGCTCGAGCGGTTATAATAGCTTTGCGGATGTAGCGGCTCGTCCGCCTTTCGAATGCCCCACCCTTCCTAACTTGCGCCCTTAACTTCACCTCCAACCTTCTTCAAATGCTTCTTTCGATACATTACCATTTCTTCTTTTTTTCAATTTCCATTCCTTTCTGTCAACTAATGAAGATATTCCTTTAAAAGCATAAGACTCCGCATTTAAAAACAAACTCATAGTACATAATACGAAATCCAATTTCAAATTCTCGTCGCGTTTAAAATTTCGGAAACTTATAGTTTGTCACCCATATTTTGGCTACATCTCACAAGTACAGGGTTGCCACAAAAATTTTATTTTCTTTTTCCCCGACTTTTCCCTGATTTCCAGAAAAAATTTTCACTTTCTCCCTCACCCTAAAGAATATTGTGAATAACTCTAAAAATTATTAGATACTCAAAAAAATATTCTATTTTTATTTACAAATTTCTTCAAAAGTAAAATTATTCGAAAACATCAATAACTTCTTTTTTTTAAATAAATATTTAATCATTATTATTTTTCCGTAGGAATTAAAATTCTTCAAAACATTTAAATTCAAACATTTTAAAATTTATGAAAATAATTCCACTATTTAAAAAGAAATTGAATTCCTGTGGAATTTTTATTATTTTTGAAAATAATTAAATATTTGTGTACAATTTTATTAAATTTTTTTTTTAATAATTGAATTATTTTCGGAAAATTTTATTAAAATATTATATATTGAGAATAATTGAGAAATTAAGACAAGAATAATTGCATGTTTCTTAAAATGGAATTCTCATAAAGAATTTTATCAATAAATTTTTAATTAATGTATAATGGACTTTCTTAAAAAATTATTTCAAGTTTTCATTTTTTAATATATATATATGGTTTATTAAAGAATTTATTATGAAAATTTGAAAATCCAAATATTTCATATTTTTAACTAACAATTAAATTCTTTTGAAGAATTTTAATAAAATTTTTAAAAATAATTACATTTTTCGAGGAATTTGATTAAAATTGTATTAAAAATAATTTAAATTCTGCAATGAGTTTTATTATTTATGAAAATAATTGAATTTTACAATGAATTTTTTAAAAATTCCTGAATCTAATTGAATTTCGGCGAAGAATTTAATGACAAATTTTAAAACATTTGATTTTTTTGAAAAAATTTATGAAAATTTGATTTTAAATAATTTAATTCTTGTGGAATATTTATTTTTTTTTTTTTTTTAAATAATTGAATGTTCGTGTAGAATTTTATGAAAATGTTTGTTAAATAATTGAATTCTTTTAGAAAAATTTAATTATAATAGTGGTAATTTCATAGTTTATGAGTCAAACAAAAAGACACAAAAATTGAGAATTTTCTTATAAATTCTAAACATGTGATTTTTTCCAGTAAACTTTTAATAAAAATCCCTGACTTTTTCCTGAATTCCCCGACCTGTGGCAACCCTGAAATAAATAAAAATTGAAAAACTAAAATGAAACCGCGAGAATAAGTTTCACGAAAAACTCACCGAACGTAAACAGGAGCATCAAATACACAATTTGAAAATGTTTGTTTCGTCACTGCTGCTACACTTTTAATTTTGATCGACACATTCACTACGTATCGAGGCAGATTTTTTTCTAAATGGCTCACCTGATTATTACTTGGAGATAGAAATATGCGATAGATTTTAATATCTTCATACTACCTTGACTCAGGAACGTAAAATAAAAAAAATTATCAATAAAAAAATCAAGTCTTACCCCTGTAATGGGTTTAACTTCCACTGGCTCGAGTGTCTGCTTCATGTTATTTGGCATTGCACTTTTCAATTCACAGTCGTCTTTTTCATCATTTTTCTCAAACTCTTGCGTCACGTCAACTCGTTTTTGTTTTTCTTGTTTATTACTTGCAGAATTAACTAAAGCAGCAGCACGTTTTACACGCTCCACTTCTAATTCTTGAATGACAATCTGCTTCACGGCGTAAGAAAGGCCACGTCTGAATTTACAGTCAGGAAAAGTGCCAATCTGCAAAAGGTCTCTGAAACCGAAAATTAAAAATGTTTTTTCAATTCCTACCATAAATGTATCTATTTATGTATAATAATTAGAATTTTTGTCTTTGAAACGTCTAATGCTTAAGTTGAAAGAAAATTGATCATTAGGATTGTACAATTATTTAATTTATCTTTATAGAGAACGGACACATTTGAATAAAGGCAAAGCTTAAAGATTGAAAAAAAAGTAACAAGCTTTTTAGGAAATACTGATTATTTTACAAAGTTGTAAATTACTATTATTATCTAAATTAATAATCGTTGTATTCCGGTAATCTGTTCGCAGTTTCAAGTTAGTTGCTGTTTGCTTTTTTGTTTCAAAACTTTTTAATTATTTTTTCTTTTTAAATGTTTTCAATTTTAAAATAACGTACTGAAAATCATTGAATTCTTGCAAAATATTATTTATTATTTATTAAAAAATTTGAAAATAATTCAAGTCATTTCAAGAATTTTATCAACATTTTTCAATAATTGAATTCTTTCGAGAAAATGTAATTAAAATTTGTATTGAAAATAATTTAATTCTTGGCAAGATTTTTATTAAAATTCTTTAAAAGAATTGAATTATTTTGAAGAATTTATTTCAATTTTCTTGAAAATAAATAAATAAATGAATTCTTTAAATATTGAATTTTATAATCATTAAAAAATTGATGTTTATTCTTGAAAATATAAAAAGTTTTTTAAATAACAAAATAATAATAAACGGAATAGCGCGTATCATTTTCTAATATTATATATATATAGTAAATTAATATTTTAAAAAATTATTATACTTTAAGAAGACTATTTTATTCCAAAGAGATTTTATTATTTGAAAAAGATTATCATATTTCAAAGAGATTTATATAACTGGAAAAGGATTTATTTTACTTTCAAAAGGATTTGTACTCGTTGAAGAGAATTGAGTTGAACATATGAAATAAAAGAAAGTTTAGTTGAAAGATAAATGACACAGTAATTTCCGGTTAAAATAAATTCAAAACTTACGGTTCGAGATTATACTCAAATCCTCCTTCTGGCTTCTTTTCTTGAATGAGAGTAAGTCCATAATCCAACATGACGTTCACTAAATGCATCAACTCTGCTTTTTCCTTGGAAGAATAAAGATGAGCAGAAACTGATCTTAAGCGTGGTGCCAAGAGCTCAGGTAACAATGGAGAAATATCAAGAGTCAGAGTTAGTTTGTCGATTCTACACGATTTTTGGGATGTTGTTAAAATTGCTCTATTTCTCGTAAGTTTTTGATTCACCTAGAATGAGAAAAAAAATTATTCCAGTTTCAATGAAAAGCTTGAAATTTCTGAATAAAAATAGAAATAATTCAATTTTTAAAAATGAATGAAAATTAGTAACTGAAATAATTTGGGCTAAGAGATTTTCTGAAGGGAAAAAATGTTGGGATTTCTCCCAACAAGCAAGAAGAAACCTGTAAATAAGTCGTTTCGCCAAGTCTTATCGACTTATCCAACAGTTTGAAGAACACGAGATGAATAGAGAGAGAGAGAGAGAGAGAGAGTAACCGTTTGAAAAGAATTTATATGAAACCCATTTCCATGAAATGATGAAAGAACAAAAACTCGGGTTTTATATGAAAGTACAAATTATCTCAGGGAAAATGAGCTTTGCACAGTCACCAAGTATGAACATGAACGTAATATATGTTCCCGCGAAAGTGGCCGCTTAGTAGAAAGGTCCATTTATACTCATCTTCAGCAACGATGTTTGCTCTTGAAATCGAAAACTCGAGGCTATTTAATGGGTTTTTTCTTTTTTTCTACAGTTTGTAATCTCGGTGATACCTTCTTCAAGTCTCATTCATTGCATTCTAAGAGAGGCAAAATAAATGTTTTTTTCTTTTTTCAAGAGAAAATATAGTTAATCAGCCAGCATGTGCCGTGAATTTAATATGTAATAATGAATTAATTTGTGGTTATTGTTTAAGGAATTGATTTCTAATTATTGCCAGTCGATAATTACTGTCGGAACAACCTGGCAGGCTGAGAGTTGAAGAACGAAGCTGGCATTGAAGAATCCCCAATGAAAAAGCGTTTAGTGTTTCGCGAAATCAGACGTCCAAGGGACGTTAGAAGCACAACAACTCTTAAATTGCTGGGGAAGTCGACAGTGCCTCGGCGGAAACGGGGGTTCTTTCAGCTGAATAATGCAAGCTCTCATTAGGGCGACAAAAGCACCCTGATGGATTGCTGCTTGGCTTCGCAGGCTGTCGTCTCTCTGTAGTGTACCTGCACGTATTTATAAGTATTACTGTATTAGTTGGTGCAATCGTGATACGGCGAGCGCATCGCAAACAGCAGCCACCTCTCCTGGCCAAACTCAACTTGGCTTTGTTTTATTTCGAATGTTCTTTCATTTCTTAAAAGGTTCTCCACTGATAATTAGCACAATGCGCGGCCGCATTAATTATTACCCTTGCTAATTACCCGAGGATAAATCGCCCGGCAGAAGTTAGCCGAGGAGCGAAGGGGAGGAAGCCCATTACCGTTATTGCAGCAACAAACCGTCCAACAACAGCGAACAGCGATAAATACGTGCGAGACTCTGGGGTTACAAATGTCTCTGTGAGTTATGATTATTTAGCGTACAGCCTCCGCTGCTGCTTCTCGCTTATGTTGTCTGATAAAGGTTTAACGTCACTGGAAAATGGAGGAAATTCTATCCTTTTCAATTCTCCTCTTTACCGTTTGTAACATGGGATAAACATGGAATAAACTCCAAGTCAATACATACAATTTGCAATTGTTTAATTATTTATTTAATTATTTAATTTATGTTCTTCAGTTTCTAACAAAATTTCACAATACTTGAGAGATGGGTAACATTTTGAAACTTGCTTTTATAATGTAGTATACAAAAATTACTTACCTCACTTACTGTCAGTGGATAAGACAATTTAGAACTTTGTTGACTAGCCAAATCAAAATGCCAAATAACGAAAGCATAATTTGTATAAGGCATTACGGTCCAAACTTGTCGGGCAGCAACTGTTTTTGTAATTTCGTCGAAAAATTCAAACCATTCTAAAGACCTCGCTACTGATTCCATTTTTTCCTTGCAAATCGTGGGATAATTGTGAAACATTCCTTGACACAGTCGTTCACTGTCACCTTAAATATTTATTTATACCGTGAGAAAATACCTATGAATATTATTTTTCATTCAATTAAATTGACAATTTTACCTTGATTCACTGTTTTTAGAATGAGACTAATTCTTTCTTTAGGCGGGAAGAAACCTTTTTGAGTCATTGGCACTTGTAGTAAAATTTTCCATGAATCAAAAAGTCCCTTGCGAGTGTCTTTGAGTCCGAGACTTAAATTTTCTTTAATATTTGAGCCCCTCATGTATTGTAAAGCTCCCAAACACGTTCGAATGTCGCAACCCGATCTCTCAGATAATTTAATTAAATGAGTATACTCGACTTTCAAATGTTCTTTACGAGATATTTCCATTAATCTATCTGCCAGTCTTGTTGGCTCAATTGCCGGAACGGGAATAACCAAAGCCATTGCTTTCAACTGTCTGAAAAGAAGTAAAACTTTCAATGTAAATTCATCAAATTAAAAAAATACCTTAGTGATTAGACAATCCTTAAGAAGTGGAAAAAGGAATGAAACGAGTAATAAATTGTGCAAAAAAAGTTATACACAACCTTAATGCAGGTGCGTATAAATCGTTACAAATGCAAATCACAGGTCGTTGACAACCGAGTTTCATCTTTTCAATTGTCTGTTTATTTTTCTTTCCCTTTTGCACTAGTTTCCCTTGTACAAATTTTATAAGAAGATCGATTGACGCACTTGGAGCTCCGTCAATTTCATCTAAGATGAGACAATTTGGTCGAGGATTGGCACCAATGACCGCTTGCATTTGTGTTGACGAAAGAAGAGCTTCTCTGTTGAAAAATAAATAATCATTGTTCACTAAATTCCACCAATTTCGATGAAATAAATTCAAAGCTAATCTAATAACTCTAAACAATAGAATGGAAAATGTTGAAACAATTTAAAATTTGCGTACCTGAAAGCACTTGGTTCTCTGTCATCACTCGCATTCATTTCAATCACATTATATCCTGCATGTTTTGCTGCTACGTGAGCCAAAGTTGTTTTTCCAAGACCTGGGGGTCCACTAAGTAAAGCGATTCGATAAAAAGGATAACCTTTACTATCAAACTCCTCAACACTCTCCTCATTATTAAAATTCTTCCTACCAAATTTTTTATTCGTCTCAGAAAGTGAAATCCTTTTAGTTTTTACCGGCTCTCGATGAAAGACAATTTTGTCCCAGAGTTTTAACCAGTGAAGAAATTTTCTATTGATATTTTCGTCTGACAGTAGTTCCAGATATTTTTTAGGTTTATATTTATCAACCCAGAGTGAGTCGTCGGAATTTTCATTAGATATTTGTACTGATTGAGGAAGAGTCGCATATTCAATGTTTTTAATTATCTGTTTTCGAAAAAAAACTGGTTAGAAATATTTAAAAGAGAAAGAAAAAAAAACAGTCGTTTGCTGAATTAAAAATTCAATAAATTCTTACGATTTCTTCGGCTTGAGCTTTTAATTGACTATAAGAAACTGACAGTAAACGAGTTGTCGGTTGAGCTTTAACAAAAACTCCTTTTTCATCATTTTTAACTCTTACATATAAAGACTGACCATCTGTATTTCGTGTCATTTTTATGAAATTCCATCGTGGAGGTCTGGTTGAAATGGTATCCTTTTTAGGACTTAAACTAAAAGAATAAACGAGTAAAATTAAACCTATTAATTTTATTAATTTTATTAAACTGAAAAATTGTTACTAATTGTTATCTTAAATTTATTTATCCCTTAAATATTTTTATTCTATACAATTGAAAACTGTTTTCACTATTTAAAGGAGGAATAAAAATTAAAACAACAATTTTGTTTTTCCTACTTTTTGAAAGCAACGTTTCTTTCAAGTATTTATGTGAACTTGATAAAGTTACTTAATAAAGTTTATTACCTTTGAACAAGACGGTTATTAGAAGACAATCCAGTTGAATCACGAGAATTATAAATTTTTCTTTCTTGTAGAATTAATTTTCTTACTTCTTCATAGTCGTTCCAACGAGGCCGTTTAGATGTTTGCTCAATTATCTCTACTCAAAGAAAATTCATTAAAATTTAGATAAAATTTTTCTTTTTTTATTGTTGGTCCGTAGTGGACAACTTGACCAACGTTTGAACGCAAATTCTAATGCCAGTCGGTTATCAGTGAGCAATCCAGCGGCAGTCATTGCTATTTGACTGCTATTAGAGAGTTCGTCATAGCGTTGGTCGAGTTATTTGATACGGACCCTGAATCATGATAATACAGAAAACATTTAAATACGTATTGTGGATGCCCGCATGAAAAAGGGACAAAATACAAGATGTTTGTAAGAGTACACAAAATTTTGTAATGAACTGACGAAAAACTTGAAAATTTATAATATACCAACAAAGTCAGGCTGTGGATTTTAATTTTTAAGATAATCACAATTACGGAAAGGAATCTTATTTTATTAATATCTTTTTATTGTTTAAAACCAATCTATAGGATTCCACGCTTCAAATTATTAAGTATGTAATTTAATTTTTTCTTTTTTCTTTTTTCTTTAAAACATTTAAATTACATACTTAATAATTTGAAGCGTGGAATCCTATAGATTAAAATCCTATACATTAAGAAGATATTAATAAAATAAGATTCTTTTCCGCAATTGTGATTATCATAGAAATTAAAATCCACAGCCTGACTTTTCATGCGAGCGTTCACATTTAATTTAATAAAATCAAAAAAACTATTTTCATTAATGGAATAAATGAGAAACAGTTGACAGTTACCTGGTTCATGTAAATAAGAGATTTCAAGATTTTCTCCGCTCAGAAGAGCGTTAACATCTTCTACCAATTCATCAACTGTCCGCTTTCTTTTGTCATTTAATTTTTTGATTTCTTCACGAGACGTACTATCAAAAGCTCTTGAATCAGAATTATTATTTTTCGTTTTCGATAAATCCTGCTTGTAATTCGTTGGAGTTTCTTGTGTAAATTTACTAAAAGAAATAGAGTCAGTAGGTTGACAAGTATTTTGAGATAAACCATTTTCTACTGCTAAATCAGGATTGACAATTTTTTGTACTGTAGGCAAATTTGTAGATTTTTGATGATCAATCTGTGTTGATGAAGCTAATAAGTTTGGTTGTACTGAAGATTTATTTGATATCTTCTTACTTGGAGGTCCTAAAAAAGAAGATTTTTCAGTTAGCCAATTTCTGAAATAAATAAAAAAAGTAAAACATTGTTTTATAAGTTGTTTTAAATTTTCAGCATAATCCAATAAACAGTTTAAAGGTTTAAAATAATTACTTTGAATAAATTTACACTTTGCGCTGAAAACTCTATATAAAGGCGGTAATATTTGAAATATTTTAGTAAAATCTAAAAAAAATTATTCTTTTGTTTAGTCTTTAAATATAGTGCATAATTGAACTTTTTATCGATTATTAATAGTAGTTATTTTAAGAAATTGAAAACAAACATATATATATAAAAAAAATTTCTGTTTTTAAGATAAAATTTGAGGTTATGTTGGATGATTACATATATATTTATATAGAGTTTAAAAAATATGTACACTTTTTAAAATAATTTTTAAAACTGACAAAAAACAAATCCAAATAATATACTGCAAAATATTTTTATTATTATAAATAACAATTAAATCATATTTTTAAAATATAAAAAACCAAAAAACAAATGCATCAACTAACCTTCAAAATCTTCTAATTCATTTAGCAACTCAAACTCATCTTCATGTGCTAAATCAAATTCTTCGTCTGGATCAGGAAACTCATCCATTTTGATAAATTTTTAAAGTGTATTACAAAATTTTTAACTTAAACTATATATAATATATTAAAATTATTTGACAAGTTTGACAGATCGATATGTCGCAGACATGGATGAAGCGGCAGTAGCAGACAGCAGCAGATGTATTTCTATCATGGAGTCCATTTTTAGAAAGCGCGAAATTTGAAAATAATCCTTGTTTCAATTTTTAAGAAACAATTATTTTTCTATAATTATCAATAATCTACATTATGGATTTATATTCAAATAACCAATTTGCTTTATTTTTAAGAATAAGTTTTATATAAGTAATTCTTTTTTATATTAGTAAACAATTATTTCCATAATTTTATTCTTAATAATAATTGATCATAGATCATTTTTTTCAATTGTAATTATTATTTAATAAAACATGTTTCTTTTTTGAATAGTTGAAGAAGTTACGTGTTGTGGATTGCTCTATATATCACGTAATTATTTACGTCCGCTCGTTCGAAGAAGATTACTCTCGACTTGATTCAATGTTCCATCACGAAACCAGCAGTTGTACGAATATATATGTAAGTATATGTTTGTAAATAAATATTATCGTAAATGTAAAGAGAAGTAAATAATAATTACAATTTTTACAAGTGAATTCTATTTCTTAAAATTATTAGGTACTAGATAAATTTAAAAAATAATTGTTCATCTTGAATTTGCATTTATTTATTATACTATTTTTGATTTTATATTATGTATACCTAGTTTTTAAGTTAATATATGATAGAAATTATTCAGGTTGTTAAAATAATTAAAGCAATTGTCAAAAAGTAACACAAAAATGTTAGTTGAAATTTAAAATTTGTTCATTTCATATATGAAACGAAGAAAAATTATAAATATATGTTATGAAAGTGATAAAACGCATTTATAAATGTTAAAGGTCACACATTAAAAATTGATAGTGAATTTGTATTTATATTTTCCACTGGATTATAATTTAAAAAGAAAGTTGTATATATATAGTCTAATTAACAATTATAGTTAAATGAGAAAAAGATGATAATTTAAAGTTTAGAATAATAGAAATTAATGTTTTTTAAGTAAAGAAAAATAATATTTTCAATTATTGTTAATTTTCTTGAAACTTGATCGGAATCCGAATCATAATCCTATTCATGTTATTTAACATAGGATGAGTGTCAGTAGAATGGTTTTGTCACGATATCCGCAATGCTTGCGGTTTTTTGGTTTTATTCTGTTGGACATTACAGCGAATCCAAGCGAATCTCTGAGAGCAAAATCAAGAATACACAGAGTTCGATAACGCGCTCCAAGGAAATAGAGAAGGAGAACGAGACAGAACGATAATCGTGTAATAGAAAACTTGACAGTCCAGGATCGTAGGCGCGAGAAGAGGTCGTTGCTCGTGACGAAGGGACGTCATCGAGGAAGATGGCCAAAGAAGCATTGACAGTCACCATCTATGTCCTCTGTCTTTTGGCACTCTTCGGTGAGTTTCCGGTATAATACCGGAAATGTTCATCTTCATCTGTATGTTACATTCTTGGTCATAATTTCTCACTACTTATTATTAATTATTGCTAAAACGATAATTTAGTAAATGAAAAAGTTTTTTTTAAACTAATCGCAAAAATTAAACGTAGCGGAAGGTTTAGTTTGTTCTTTAAAATTTTTAATTTAAAAGAAAAAAATATTTAAATTATTTAAAAAATCTAAAACTTTTATTAACTTTAGATAACTAAAATTATTGTTTGATCAAAACTCTGCAGACAATTTATTTTCTTTAGTTTCTTTCGGAAATAATAAAATTTTTACTTACTTAAATCATATATTGAAGATAGTGATTGGCGACCAATAATTTATTCGCGAAATAGAAACAAAACATTTCCTTATGGAAATGCATGCAAAATATTCTCTTGCAATTTCAAGAAATTCTAAAAATACAAAATAATAAAAATTCATCAACTATTGCGCCTCTAGTGAAAAATTAAATATTTAAATGTTTAGTAATTAATTAGACTGTAAATCAATAAAATTATTGCTCTAAATAATAAATGTTGAATAATATTGTAATTTATATGTTTTAAATTTCATTATACTTTTTAAAATTATTATTCTTCTTACTTATATTATTATAAATATATGTATTTATTATAGGTACCTATTTATTAAAATTGGACTAATTAATTTCTTCATTTGTGTCATTATTTTACTTTTGTAATTTTCATATTTATTTAGTTTAATGATTTTATTAAATTTTTCAGGTCCCTATTGTCAGATGGCTCCAGGTAATTGTCAATAATCGCAAATGGATTTTCAAAAACAGTTTTACAAATAATTTTGAGAAAGAAATGCGTTAAGTACTTATATGTATTTTTAAGGCAAGTAATATGTTTATTAAAAAAAAATTTAAGTAAAATTCAAAATTATTCATATTATTATAATTTAATCCTGAATTGCAAAAAATATGTAAAAAAAAGTTTAATTATCAATCAATTAATATTATAAGTCAACTTCAAACAAATACTTTTTTATTCTCTCTCCGTGTATGAATCTAAAGATTATAGCTGTAGAATCCAATAATCTAATATGTTTTTAAAATATATTTTCCTTAAAGGATTTTTTGTGTCTTTCAAGAATCAGTTATAGATATAAATTTGATCCCTGTTAACCGATGGACGAAAATGTACCTCTAAAAAAAACATTGGCCATCTTAATTTTTCATAAACTTTTAGTATATTATTCAAATTTGCGTTTAGTATGTTTTATCTATTTCAGTTGATCAAAATAAAAATTGCTTTTGTTATTCCTTGTTTTATTAATATTTGAAAATAAATAAATTGAAATAATAATAATAATAATAATAATAATAATATAAGTATTAGACATCATTTATTAAAATGCAGAATTTATTTTTATTTTATTTAAAGTGACATAAAGTCGTTAAATTTCAGCCTACAAAATTTTTTGAGTTTTATTTTTTACTTTTTCTCCGTGTGTACGCCCCAAAAAGTGGAGATAAAATTTTCTTATCCCCAACTTTAATATTGTTTTAACTAGGATTTTTGTAAAAGTGAAGAATAAATACTGAGATACTGATAAATATACTATTCAAGGTCTATGTCACGCATTTTTTTGTATCAGGTAACATGGACTGGGTTAACGGTGCCCGAATCTGTCCATTCAACACAAATGAATTTTCCCCTATGCTGAACACCCACACACTGAAAACATTCCATCATGGAATGGTTTCTTATCTGTAGTTGAATCACTTTAGGGAATACATATACAAGCATATAGTACAAATACAGCATGAATACAGCAGAGCCAGAAGCTGGCCGGATAGAGTTGTCTAAAGTTGTCAGTCGACTCGCGACTCGCGTCTAATAATCTTCTTCTCTCTAGTTTTTAGTTGTTGCTTTTCAACTTTTTTCTCGTATTATAATTATTATAATTATTATAATTATTCCATTTTTTAATTATTAAATCAAATGATACATGATGATTATTTCCTGTTGGAATTTGTGCTTCCTACTTATAGCTGTGGCTGGAGCCTCTAGAGGTTGGAACCTTGGCCATGGATTCAGGTACGAATTAAATATGACCCTTCTCTTCCGAGAAGCTGGACCACCGAGACCTGGAGGCGATGTTGGATTTCAAGTGACTGATCATCTTGAGGTGATTCCAGTCTGGAAGGATCCTAAGGATTCAGGTGTCATCATATTGAGAATAAAGGTTGTACCTCACTCATCCATTATATATAATATAAATGCAAATTAAATTATGTAGTTAGTTTAGCAATTTCTATTATTAGTTAATTAATTTATTGATCAAGTTGAAAAAATATTCAAGATGATAAAATTGAAACAACAATAAATGGAAGACTGATATGTAATATTAAAAGCAAATTTTATATACCTACATAAAATAATAAAATTTAAATCCGACATTAGAAAAAGTTTTTAATAAAGAACCAAAAATTTTGAATATTATTGGAAAGGACAGATTAGATATTTTCCTGAAAAGAGATTGCCGTATCTAATCATTAATTATCCTCCAAAGTTCAACAGTTCATAACTGATTTTTCATTGCGAAGATACTTTTTTACAAATATTAAAATCTGTCAAAATTTGCCATTGATTATAATGTTTATACAGAACATACTTACATAATTTTTTTTGGAAAAAACCTATGCAACAATTTGCGTAGATTAATTTTTTAAAAGAATCTTGTATAGATGAAATAAAATCTTGCAAATACCATATAATATTCCTACTCCTTAAATCTGAATCAAGTGAAGAAATATGGAAATTATATAACTAGTAAGTTTTAATTTTCAGCTCACGTCACCACAACTATGGATAAAATCACGAAAAAATCCAAAACCAGAAGGATTTATTCAGCATTCGTCAACAATACCGGAAAGTGCCTCGAAACCAATTCTTGTTGTGTGGAAAAATGGAAAAGTCCAAAGCATCTTCACTGATCCAAATGAAAGTGTTTCATCCATGAATCTAAAACGCGGCTTGTCGAGCCTTTTTCAGTACACAACTTTCGATGGTGAATTCGAGGAAATCGATACCTCGGGTATTTGTAAAGTAGTCTACACTTCCCTGAGTCCAAATTCCATCGAGAAGAAGAAAGTTTCCTGCAGAGAAAGTAATTTTCCTCACAAAACTGTTCATCCAAATCCAATTTTCGGTGTTGAGGTGAAAAGCTCAAGAAAATGTATTTACGAATTATCAGCAAATTTGCTTCCAAAGGTGATAAAAGAGCAGGAGATGCATTCCATGACATTAATTAGCAAACCTGAAACTGGATCAGCCGTCACGTCTGAACGGACGCTGAGTCAAATTGACGAAATCACTGGTAAAATTGTCGAAGCTGACAGTGTTGAAAATGCTGTTATTCTTCTTGAACCGGGATTCAGAGATATGCCTCTTAGTCTTCAAATCGAATCGACGAGTTGTCCTGAAAATGGTTGTCAAACAGTGAGTTATAAGTATTGCAAATTTCTATAAATTGTCAATAAATCCAATTTTCTTACCAGAAAGTTTTTACTTGAAACATGAAATAATTTCCCTAATTGCATAACCAATTATTATTATTATTATTATTATTATTATTATTATTATTTCAGTTGGAGCAAGCAGTTCAGGAAAATCGAGAAGCTTTAGACTCAACAAATCTAGGAACAGTAAAATCAGCATCAGCATTTTTGAAATTAACATCATTAGTCAGAGATGCTTCTGCCGAGGAACTTGTAAAATTGCTGAAAAGTCCGAAATATCGTCAATTGAGACCTCAATTGTTTGACATTTTAGGTTCGGTGTCAACCCCAGGAGCACACAAAGCAGCGATGAAAATTCTTCAGCACGACGAGAATGGTGACGAGACTGAAAGATACCTTTGGTCTCTGTCCCTCTCTCCCAATCCACATCCCGACGTTATCAAGGACGTCTTGCGGAAATCCGAGGAGACAATTCAAAATAATAGGGTTTCGGAAACATTGGCCTTGACAGCTGCCGCAATGGCGAAGCAGCATGGATCGGCCTCGGTGATTGAAAAGGTCCGAGTCAGTCTGGAGTTAGGTTTGGACAGTTGTTCAGGTGAAGAGTGCCAATTGAAATTCCTGCGAAGTTTGCGAAATCTCGAAAGTAAATTGGCCATTCCAGCTCTGTTGAATTTCGCACAAAATGGAACTAGATTGACTAGTGCAGTCGCTTGGCAAGCATTAGGTTCCTTGCCGAAAGGCGATTTAACCGAGCAAGTCAGAGCAGCTGCTATGAAGGCATTTTATCAACTGGACGGACCGAAAAGAGACAGTAGTGTGAGAACTCTAGCTCTGAATTTGATCCTCGAAAGTGAACCCTCGATTGATGAACTTGAAGGCCTAGTGAAGTATCTCACAAGTCGGGATCCAGTTTACGAGGTCCGGAAATATCTGAGCCAACGACTGGAACAGCTGGCTGAGGAGGATGTTCAATTTTCAAAGAATCTGAAGGAAGCCATGCGAAGGGAGTCCGTCAAGTATTACAACTACGACACTCTTGCGCAAAAAGGACTAAGTACAGCGTTTAGCAGAAGTTTCCTCAAATCTCCCGGAAGCAATGGATCACTGTTAACAATTCAGGAAATCAGTTCTGGACTGTTAAAGCGAGGAATCGTGGATGTAGTCATGGAGAGTGACTCACACGCGAGTACAATCTTCTCACTGGGAATCTATGCCGGTGGGCTCGGTGGCTTTATCTCATCGGACGCAAATGAAGACGAAGAACCTACTGACGATGAAGTCGCAACCGCTGGAATGGACATTTCGATCCTGGGAGTCACGATCAGACCCTTTGTTTTCTTTTCCGGCCAAGGAGAATTAATGGGCCATGTCTGGTCGGGCACAGCTTCTGAAAGAACGCCAGCATTCCAAGCGCTCGTGAATCTTCATCGACACTTTGAGTATATTCCCCTTTCATCCGGATTCATTGCAGAAATCAATGTCGACGGTGCAATGAGTTTTGATCTTTCCGGACAAATACAATTGAGCCTTTGGAACAGAAATGCGCAAAGTCTGGTGGAAATGGGTGCAGGACTTTCACTTCAGGGCGGTACTAAAGTTCGATCAAATTTCGTTCAAAGTACGGCGGAATTTCTCTTGACTCTCGAACCGAAACTTGAATTGGCGACTGACGTGGACTTTTCTGGTCCAGTTTCATTGTGCATGCGACTGTCCCAACTGGAAACAACAGTGAGGCACAACGTTTACAAAATCGAGAGAATACCCGGGAGCAGGCACAGGTTGAGAAAAACGAAGAGATTAAGAGTTTTCTCACCAGCGAAATCCTACCTCTTGAATAGAAAAAACAACGAAATGTGCTCAAAAGTGTTTAGTTAGCGAAATAGCGAATGTTAATGACCTGTTACCGAGAGAACAATATATTTTATCAGAGACAATTTTAATCTTAGATTGTTTATATCGTTGTAAATCGTTGAGAGAATTTCGATAATTTGCATTTACCCGAACTCAGGACTTTGCTCACAAATTGAAATGATTTTTTGTACAACTATACTGTTGATAAGACCCATATGTAGGTATTTAATGACAAACAACTCTTCAAATCCATTGTGAAGATTAGTTATGGTTTGACAAATGAATCTGTAGCATATGTTTCGAGAAAAGAATCTCTTCAAGACTATATATATATATATATATAGCTATACCTATTATAAAACCAAAGGTTGTCTTTTGAAATAAACAATTTGTTAGCTAAAAAAAGGTTGCAAAGCAGTCTGTGATATTAAAAGAAAATTCTCTCATTCTCACTCATTTTTCCCCTTCTCTTAATGAAGACAAATAATTTAATTAATTTCGATCTCAGAATTAAAATGAACCATTTCTTGCATTTAGCATTATTTATAAATACAAGCACGAAAATTAAGGAAATTGTATACGTTCTGAATTTGGTATAATGGAAGTAAATAAATGCGATTCTTGCAAATTAGGAAAAAGAAGATAAAATTTTATTTCATACTTTTTTATTGTTGAAAAGTAAAAGATGGGCAAGTGTAATTTAGTTCCTAACAATAAATTTGTACAAAACGCTAGTTATTCTTAATAAACAGCAATTTGAATTTTCTTGGGAATTTAACATTTATTTTCTCGCAGCTTTTTAAATTAAAAGGAATTTTTTGATTTATAACAATAAATGATTCGCATTAATGTTAACACAAGAATATTTGCAGGAGAAATTAATAGCCACTTTTAATGATTCATTGGCTTATCTATTCCTGCTAACTGTCTTTATCCACGCTAGATTATTAAAATTCTTCATTTACTTTAAAAAAGGAAATGCTCAATATAATTATGTAAATCGCATCGATGAGACAAAATCTGGATTCATTTATTATGATCCTTCATTTAGCATCTTTTTAACATGCTTTTCAAATTTATTACATTATTAATGTTTTTTCTATATTTAATAAAAGAAATCGTTAATGTTTCAGTAGCTTGATTTTCACTGGAACCTTCCCATGATATTCTGGATGAAGATATATTATTGTGAAAAAATAAGTTTTCAAGTGTATTGCGAGACTAGTCGTCGCCTTGATGAGTCGAGCAGAGAAAATTCTTTAAATCAGTAGTCATTGTTTTTACCTTATTTGCTTTAGTGAATTTTTCGTTTTAGTTGCTTGGATTAATTTTGAAGAAGCTGTGAGTAATTCTGAAAAGAAGGAGTTAACGGCACCCACACTCAGCCACAACCATATCTTCGTAACCATACTGATAGGTGAGAGTTCCAGTTTCGTCTAAATATAGTAAACTTGTCGGAGCCAATCTCGTGGGGACACAGCAGGCCCTGCTGACTAGTTTCCCACTGAACACTTCACTATTCTGCAAAGCCCCGTGGATAAGAGTTTGGACAATGGCATGTTTAGTCGGACTGAGATGATCCGCGAGAGGGAAGAAGCATTTCCCAACGCACTGATACGCTTCGTAGCCGGGTGGTGCGACCACCCACTCATCATAGGCGATCAATGAGAAGTCGACGTACAGTGGACGTCTTCGACAACTGTTTCTCCGTCGTCGCCTGTTACTGCTCTCCTCATCCCCCCACACAATATGATCGTCCTGCTCGTCGTCAAAAGCAGATCTCGACTTTCGTCTCTTTGACTTGGTGTAATTCAACAACAGAATCAGGCCTTCGCCACCGGAGCGAATGTCCACTGGGCCTTGCACCAATAATCGCACAATGTTTCCATGTCTCGTCAACACTGCTTTGGTCACGTCGAAAGCCCTCCAAGGGTCATCTCTTCTGCACCTCTGAACCTGCGTGACGCCACTCTCCAGTGATCTCACTCGAACGACCATCCCAGCAATGCCGAGCAATTCAGCAGCCTCGAGAGCCTCTCCTGACTTTGTGTCCGGAATGAAGAATTCCAGAATCCTTCCGCCTTCCAAAAGTGGTGCAGACATGTGTCGAGGCTGAAGGGCCCTGACAATGTCCGCGTCAGGACGACGATGGTACAGTTCCAACATGTATTTTGACAATGATCCATGCAGTTTTCTTCGACTTTTATCCGACAATTTTTTTACACTTCTGTTGAAAAATTCTTGAGAAATGACGAGTGGTGTGTTTGGTAAGGAGACATCAACTTTTATAGAAGTCTTGGCAAGAACACTTGACACTGGAATTGAGAAGAATCCACTTTTCCACAGACAACATAAACTAAAAATTATGAACATTGATGTTAGCCAGTGAATTTTAAATGGACAATTTCGAACTGAATATGTTTCATGTGTTCGTGACATAATGCGTGTGTTGAGCAAAATGAAGACGATTTGTGACTGGAGGCTTTGATGATGAGGATGATTTCTTAGGATCTTCAAATATACCGACCAATCGAGGCGCGTCTTTCAATGAAACGAGAGATAAGGAATAATTGCCAGGAGGCGAATAGTTTATATTCCTGCGTGAGCCAAGTTTTATTTTAGACCAAACCATTATTTCCATTCGCAACAAATACTTTTTAGGCGAAATTAACGATCATTTATTCATTCACTCCTTATAGATATGATAATAATTGAAATAGTCACTTATTGTTCATTTATTTTAGTTAGACTATTAAAATTGAAAATGTAAAAATAAGATTAAATTAAGCATTCATATGCCACCAATTCTATATAGGATTAGGAGGATTAGCAATAATGAAATGAAAAATAAAAAAATTCGTTAACAAGATAAGTGTTTCAATTCCCACGTAGAAAAATTCCAAGGAAATATACCCCCTGGAAATTCTGCAAGTTTTATATATTTCAATATTATTTTAACATTTCTATTATGATTAGACTCTATAATAATAAGCTTTTGTTGCAATTTATTTACAAAACTTGAACGAAATACGCATTTTGCAATCATAATAGAAATGTTAAAATATTATTAAAATAAAAAAACTTACAGAATTTCCCTGACCCTAAAGAATATTCTAATTCACTCTAAAAATGATTAGATTTTATTTTTGATTTAAATAATTGAATTTCTGCAATCATTCGTAACTGCTTCTAGATTCAATTTTTTTCAGTACTTTAATAAAAATTCCTGACTTTTCCTGACCTGTGGCAACCCTGGAAATGTTAAAATATTTTATTTAAAATAAAAAACTTGCAGAATTTCCATGTAAACTCCACGGAATTTTCAAGGGTACTTCCATGGAATTTTTCGACGTGGGTTATAATTTTCTCGTGAATCCCTTAACTTGAATAATTGCTTATCAGCTATATATATATGTGACGCGCACTCCCAAGAAAGGTACCTAAAGAAGCAAATCATTTGAAGGTTATACGTTCGTGTTACTTTTGTCTTTTAATTAAAAGTTTCTGTATAATCATTATGTATAATATTAAAATCAGTTTATATATTAATTATATTAAATATAATCATATTATAATTATATTTAACACATGAAATAACTATATATATAGTGTGTCTGAAGGAGTAATAATAATAACATATATTTATATGTTATTTTCTTAGCGTGATCTCGTGAGAAAGACAAATAAAACTTTTTCAGATAAGTTTTAAGAGGCTTCGGCAGAATAATATACCTGACAAATGACACTTTCAAGAGGGTTAAACGACCCCGTCTAGAAATAACATAAGGGGGTAAATTTCAAGATTAGTAGGTGTAACGTTACCTTCCTTAATTCAAAAAACAAGTAGTAAAACTTGAAACAAAAACTAATAATTTATTATGTATTTATAAATTACATAATTTGAAAAATAAAAAAAGACTGATATTATATACATATATATAATTCACAGATATCCACCGGCAGTATTATATAAATTCTTTTCAACAGTTAAAATTAAACAAGTTTTTAAAACGAGAATATTATTATTTTTTGATGGACAAAAGTTTATTCTAATTAGTTAGAATAAGAATTTTGACAGGCGAACCAAACAGTGAAAAATGAAATTGCATGTATTATGTAATTAAAAAAAATTGTGTGTGCATGGCAGGGTAGCGTTTAAGGGTTGAAATTGACAAGACTAACCCGTGGCGGCGCTCGGCATCGATTCTCCGCAAAGTGACGTCAGGGCTCCGCAGGAACAAAAGTAGTGAATAGGAAACATCTGCAGCGAGCGGACAAGTCCACGACGAGTGTCATGCCGTGGCCCTGACCGACGTCTTCTCGTGCCTAAAATCACCTTCGGGTGTTATCCTTGCCTTTGGAACCATCGACACTCTCGTCGAAAACTTCCTCGTCTTTCTTTTTCTCACACTGAAATCATCATCCCCAGTCAAAGTCAGTTCCTCTTGTATTTTCAAAAACTTATATCAATTATAAATCTCGTGGTGTCTCCTTGAAACGAGAATTTTTTCTGCTTTATCAATCTTTACAAAAGTAAGTAAGATTGTATTAATATTATATTCTTCTTTCTCACTCTTAATTTAACGTCAAAAAATCACTGTGAAATTCCAGTAAAATCTTTCAGATATTGATCCAACAAATGTACAGAAAAAAGTTGAAATTCGTTTTAGTTAACAAATTTTTAAATACATGAATAATTTTGCCATGTTGGGATTTTTAAATAATAATTTATCGAAAGGAGGAACAAGTTTTGTCATAAACAAGAATTTAAGCTTATTTATAAATAAAATAAAGATTTTTCATAATTAAAATCATGTGAAGAATTATTGTAAATTGAAAATTATCGTCTTTTTGTCAGATAATGATTGAAAGTTTAGTGCAATCTGATAAGTAATAATTATTGAGGGGTAAATTCCATGAAAATAAAAACATTATGAGCTGGTTGTAAACCAATGTAGGTCATGCAATTTCTTATAGTATACATATCACGTTAGACAGTTTTACTCCCTATTTTTAATTGGATTAAAAGGGGAATGACTTATTTTTTCTGCACTTCAAATAGTAAAACAGCGCTGACAATTCTTTTTTACCATTCTTTTCTTTTTGCTTCTTAGAATAAAAATGATTACTTTTACTTGGAATCAGTGATAACTTTAACTTATGTAACTTTTGGAGTCAATAAAAAATTGATTAATATTCAAAGGTATTGATAAAGCAACTATCATTTCGCCTAATTAATAAGTAAAGGTTAGTGGCTCGATTTTTGTAATATGTTATTTTGCAAATTTTTCACATCAGAATACAGCAACATATTCACCACTTTCCAAAATGTATACGTTCTGCAAAAATGTTAAGATTTTGTTAAATTTCATTATAACTAAGAAAAAGTTCAAGTTGACATTTACAATGAATTTTTTTATTGACGTGGGAAAGCAAAATTTATATATTTATAAATATACAATCGCTGACCTTAAACGAATTTTTAAAATATTTATAAGTATCTATATATTGATGATTTTCACAAATTTTATACTATTAATGAAGATGAGAAAAAAGCAAAGTATTTTACAGTTACATATTGAAAATTAATTTTTTCCACTAGTAAAAAAAGTTGTGAAATATTTTTATTAGATTCTGGATATTTAATAGTAGATATATATTTAGAAAACGATATTAACACTTAAAACTAAAAAAGGTATTAAATTTTTAAAAGAAGAATGTGTTAAACTTTAACATGTATGTACCTAGTTATATTTACTTTAAGTATTACCTAGTTTTCTTATAAGGAAATTTCATAAAATAAATAAAAAATTTGCATAGATAAAATGTTCAAGTTATTTGAAAAATACTCAAAATAGGTATAGCATTATCATATATATGTTGTAATAAAAAGCCAAGTGCCTTATTTATAATAATTCATTAGATTTCTGGAAAATGTTAAAAAATGATTTTATTTTCCTTTCAAATTATTTAAAATAGTCGATATTAAAATATCGATTGTTTATATATATATATATATATATAAATAGAGTTTTTCCTGGAAACAAAGTATCTTTTTTTAAATTACCCTTGTTTAGATAAAAATAATAAAATGTGTTTCTCTTTTCCTTGAAATAACCAATACACTACTGCAACATGGTGCAAGTTGTATTTTCTTTGCAATTTTCAACTATTCCAGAAGGGTGGAATTAATGTTTGCTATCTACCTTACCGATCGGATTTTTTGCACAGCAAACGTGCAAACCTCACATGAACTGGATAATCATTCTAAAACAATTTTCTAGATGTCTCTGACCTAACCAATTTGTAAATTATTTTAAAGACACACTACACTACACACTAGTCACTAGAATTATACAATAAAAATATATAATTTTTAAATAAAAATTTTCTCAATCATTATTTTCATTTTAATAAAGACATACGCACTTTATTTTATTTTAATAATATTCGCTCATAATGCGCAGAAACAGTTTGATGAATAAAATAACTATTTTATTATTATATATAGTTGATTAAACGTTTCCAGCGTGACAATATTATTGTAATGTTACATTATTAATACAAAATGGACAAAATTCTGTATAATAGAGTATAATATGTATTGGAAAAATTCACCTATTTTCCTTTGGTTCGAAAATAACACCCTATTCCATAAATATAAACCCGTTGGTCATTGTTGGTAATTTTACAAGAAAACACTACTCAAAATGGAGTAATATTAATCACATGAATGCACTAAGAAATATGTAAATTGAAAGTGTTACAGTCTTATGTAGAAGACTATTTGCCTTATCTGGGAGGAGCAGCAGGTGCTCTTGTTCTCACGGGAGTTGCAGCATATTACGTCTCGAGACCGATTCCAGAAACACCGCTGATGCCTCTTGACTCCCAATCGAGACTTCTTCCGGTGAGCAAAGCCATCTCATAAATATTCTGAGAGCATTTTCAAACTACAAGTAGCAGCTTGAGATTGACAGTAGTTAAAGAGATTTATTTTTGTAAAAGGTTTTTTCAATCTTCTTCAATATATATATATGTATATATAAGTCTTTTAAGTAGTTTATATACTTTTTTGCTTGTCATTATTATTATTATTATTATTATTATTATTATTATTATTATTATTAGGTTTGTTTTCGTTGTCGCACTAAAACTTTCTATACCAGCTCATGTGGTACGATAGACAACGAAAGCAAACATATTATATTATTATTAATCATCGCGCTTACGAAAATATAAACATATTATTTTTTGTTCAACCTGCATCTCATTTTGTAAACCTAGTGGTTTTTTGTCTTTTATAATTAATTTTAAAAAGAAAATAAAGAAAATATCTAATGAAAAATTGCTCTTTTAATATTTTTACCCTTTGCATGGTATATTTTCTGTACTTTACATATATCCATAAAAAATAATGATAATTCTAATTGCTACAGGTCTTAAGATGTAAAAGATTTTTTTTATATAGCAATCAGTTATATTCGTTCTAGTAGGTATATTATTATTTTCATAAAGTTTCTCAGTAGAATATATAGTTTCTATTAATGATGTAACAATCCATCAGATGTTTTTTTTCTAGACGTGTGAATCGTGTGATGTTTCCACTCAAAATCGTATTGCTTTTGAAAACTTTATATTTTGACAAGTGGAGAGTTCTGTTTTAATTTTAGCACGAGACTCTTACAACTTTTACGATAATAGATCGTTTTTCAAAGACCTTTTCTTATTGCACTCAATTTTGAGAATGGTGATATGCTCAATTTTGCTCAAGCATGAAATTTTGCACCTCAACTACTCTTTTTATTAACACTGATTTGAAGAAACTTAAACTGCGAAAATAAAATAAAAATCTTATTGTTTTGAGTAAAATTCCCAAATAAAATGTTCACTATTGTGTTTTAGATTTTATTTCTTTGAATGTAGTTTCAAGGAAAAGATGTAAGAAATGTTTACATTACACATACACAGAATTTATTCTATGAAAATACAATTGTTGTGATGCTGAAATTTCATGAAAGATGTTAAATAATAAAATTCAACTCATCGATCGATTGAAGTGCATGTTTACCAGGTAGTTGGGCATTTCGCAACGAGTGTTTTGCCGAGGACGATGTACACTCTCTTCAGGGGAAACTATATTTAAATTGAGAATCGTCTCGAGGATGAGCTTTGCGCGTGTCTATTCATTCTCCTCCTGGCACTCTCTGTCTTTTTCATTTCCTATCTTCGTCTCTCAGAAAACCTCGTGACAACACCTCTCAGCCAAAGCCAAAGCCAAAGCTCTCGAAGAAATTCGTATTAGCGGGTGTGCGAGGCTCAGCGAGGCCATTAGTGGATCAGTTGATCCCAAGGTGCGAAAGAATAAACGAAAACACGCTTCAATTCTTGAAAAATTAAATAATTTATTATAAATAAAGTGCGTGGAATAAAGACCCCGTTAATTCTGCTCTGTTCGGGACGTTTCCTCATATATTAAAAAAGAGCATCCGAGATGCCGGGTTGCTTCTTTCACGAACCAATACGCCTTCCCCTTGACATGAACGAACAATCAGAGACGTTAAAGGTGTTTCATTCATAATATTACTATCAAAATTAATATCATTTTTCAACATCAGTGTGTACAAGTGAATTTTTAATTTCAGTGATATTAGTGTACAAAAATAGACGACTTACTACTTTATGTATCATTTTTTTAAATAACGACGTGTATTTCAAAAATAGTAAAATGTCATGTTTTCAAGGTTCAATCAAGACGAAAAGTATCACATTTCTTCATTTTGATCTTGAAATTTTTCAATCAAGTGGAAAATGCTAAATTGGAACCGTGACAGGAAATAAATTACAAACATTATTAATCAGGGTTCCAATTAAACTACATACCACCAGAATCGTTAAATCAAAAGCGCGGAATCTTGGTTTCAAAATATTTTTCAAAAATCGTTTTCATTTTCTTCATGTTTTTCATTTCGGATTCTTAATTTCTATCACATTTTTTTTATTATTTAATTGTAAGTTACGAATCTACGTTTTTCAGGCTCAAACAAAGCCAATATTAGAAAATTCAAATAGTGACTGAATCTGATTTCCTAAAATCTTAATCACATTCGTCAAGTCTCAAATATTAAAATCTCGTAAGAATAATGAATTATATTAAGAAAATCAGTTAAAAGAGAAAAATTAATCATCAGTTTTTAAATTACATGCTTACAATTTTTGAATTCATGATTTATTTAAATTAATTTTTGATTAATATAATTTTATTTAAAAAACTTAAATATTATAGTTTATAGAAATCGCTAGAAAAATATAGATGCAAGTGTGGGCATTTAAAAAAAAGTGTAAAAAAACGTGTTCAATAAAAAAAAAAATAGTGTTTTTAATTTTAATAAAATCAGTTTTGAGATTTTATAAGGAACGATTTTCAGGGTGCTGAGCTGATTAGGGTTTCCAAATTCTACAAGGATAGCAAGCAAGGTAAATTCGTCAGTTACATTCATGAAGATACAAAAACTTTATACGACGCTTTTCGAAAAGGAGCCAAAGAGTCAAGTGAGTATGAAAACATTATATTCTTCTTTTTATTCGAGTGGTTAAGTTTAATAATACAAGTTAATGCTCTTTAATATCTATAATCAAGTCTTTGAACTTTATAAATTTAAATGTTTAGCCTTTATTAATAATTCCTTACAACACGCCTACGATCTTCCAAAAATAGTTGATTTGCATTGCACCACTTAATAAATCGATTTGTTTACTAAAGGGTAATATGTAGTCTAATACATAGTTAATGTTTTTAAGGCTAATTTCTCAAACTATAATTATGAAAGCAAGTTGACTTTGCTTCTCATTCTCACGCAGCTAAAAATATTAAACTTGAAATGTAACAAGATGAGATTATTAGATGGACAATTTAATGGTGTGTCTGCTCTTGACTTGGCACTAAGTGCCTCAAGAAGAATTAGTTTGCGATTGACTACGCTATAAAGATAGAGTAAAGAAGATGCATTTTTTCACGTAATCCAAAGGGAATAATGAATTATAATTTGTGAATGTTTTACCCGTTTTCGCAATATTAACTTCTACTTTTGGAAGGTGCACTTAAACTAATTGCTTAAAATTGAAATAAAATTGAAATAACAGACAATGGACCATGTCTGGGTTGGCGAGAGAACCCTAGCAAGCCCTATCAATGGATTCATTACAACGAAACACTTCTCAGGGCAAAGAATCTTGGCTCAGGTCTCATTTGTTGTGGACTGTCACCTGGATCACAGACTCTAGTTGGACTCTACAGTCAAAATTGTCCAGAGTGGATTCTCACGGAGCAAGCATGTTACACGTATTCAATTGTAGTAGTTCCATTGTACGATACCTTAGGACCCGACGCCTGTGCGTACATCATCAACCAAGCCGACATCAGTTTGGTTGTTTGTGAGGATGACAAAAAGTGTAATCTTCTCTTGGACAAAGCACCAAGGTGAGCGTTACCTAGATTCAAATACAATAAGACCAAGTTGTAAACTTGCATTTGACTCAATTTTTCAGGTGTTTAAGGAAATTAATAGTAATCAAAGAAACGAGGCCTGCGACAAATCAGAGGGCGAAGAATCTTGGTGTAGAGGTACTGAGGTTCGACGATGTGGAGAGAATTGGGTCCCAGAAGAATTACCCTGAATTACCACCGAAACCACTAGATCTTTGTACGATTTGTTACACGTCTGGAACTACCGGGAACCCGAAGGGAGTGATGTTGACTCATCAGAATGTCATGGCAGGAGTTTGTGCCGTGATTCTCCAGTTGGGTGATCATAAGCCAACCGCAAAGGACACAATGATCAGTTTTCTACCGCTTGCACACATGTTGGAGAGATGTTGCGAGAATGGAATGTACATGGTTGGTGGGGCCGTTGGTTTTTACAGTGGTGATATCAAAAGACTTTCCGACGACATGAAAGCTCTTCGACCCTCCGTTATGCCGGCAGTTCCTAGATTATTAAATCGCCTTTACGACAAGGTAAAAAACTTTTACTTAGCAATGAATTTTCAAGTTGTCGCAAACATTTACAACTCCAATAAGTTATAGATTACAATCGAAAGTCGCGACGACATTTTGAAATTTTTAGAGATACGAATCATTCAAGGTAACAAGCCAAAAGTAAAAATAGAAATCACATTGTCTTTGATTTTTAGTCAAGTTAACACTACTTCCCCTTATTAATAGAACTTTGATAATATTCATGAGAGTTTTCATTTTACATGATATTTCGATAGTTCCATTCCGTTAAAAATAAACACAACTCTTTCTCTCTCTCTCTCTCTCTCTGACTCTGACTTTTGTGAATTGAGTCGTCACGATCGTAAATAGATTGACAACTAAAAGTATCAGGCTTTTTTACTGACGTCACAAACATCAAGTTCCCTGACCTACCTTCTTTCAAATAGCTTTCCAAACTAATTATATTACACCACTGTTTTGAAAATGACTTTGTAGTCTATCTGTTTATAAATATACCCAAGTGTATCACATGAAATAAATTGCATTCACGCTAACTTGACAGGAAGTTATCAATTCCCGTCAATGGCACTATCTAATTTCTTAAATGTAAAATGAATAACTTTATTTTTAAAAAATACATTTTTTAAAATACATAATATTTAAGACAGTTTTTGGGTTGTTGAACAAATATGAAAATAAAATTTGAAATTAAAGTAAATCAAGTATAAAGTGAAATGAATTAAACTGAATGTTGAAAATGTAAAAAGTCACCGTGAACCTGAATTTTGCAACTATTTGAGTGAAATGTCGAAATCTTGTCAATACTGCGCAATAACTAAACGATGTGCCAGTGACAGATGCAGATTCTTACACTCAGGAAGTTGCATGGCGACAAGAACTTTAAACAGGTGGGTTGAATTGGCAGACAAGTTTTGCTTTCCGGGTAGCCTCGAAATCACTCGAAATTGAAAGCACACATTGAATGGGAATTGTAATCATCTTCCAACCATCAACAAAAGATACAATGAAACATTAATCATTTTCCGTTTTTCCATTCTTAAATATTTAAAACAGTTTTCCTTAACTAAATAAGTTGCTTTTATAAAAATGAAAATAGTTTTAAGCCATTTAGTCTTTACAGAAATGAGTTATTAAAACTTTGAAAAAGAAATTATTGGCTATTGACTATAAATCATTTTTACTACTGACACAGATTGACACTATTGCACTCTGTATAACTCTCCTTACTGAGATTGATTGAGATTGATTGAGATGAAATATAATTGGATGTTTTAACCGATTTCACGCTCTATAGAGTCCGACGAATGTAGAGGAAATAAAAGTTGTGAAATTGTTTCTTGGGACAGGTGCAAGCAGAACTTCAGAGCTCATGTTTGAAGAGAATGCTTTTTAACATGGGACTGAGGGCAAAAGAAGGTGAAATCAAAAAGTGTATAATAAGGAACAACAGCTTGTGGGACAAGCTTATTTTCAAAAAAATCCAAGAAGGAATGGGAGGCCGATTACGACTCATGGTGGTCGGCTCAGCACCTTTGGCAGGAAATGTTCTTACATTCGCGAGATGTGCTCTCGGTTGTCTTATAGTTGAAGGGTACGGTCAAACCGAATGTTGTGCTCCAATCACTCTCACTATACAGGTATGTGTTTCGTTCTGAACAAATGATTTTATTCAATTGATAAACTCGAAAGCATAAACATATGTAAATTCTGAATGAATGTTCTATTTTCTAAACCTGTTTACAAAATTGCAAAGTTTAGAGTTGCAGGGTTTTGAGGTAAACTTGGCATAGGGCATCATTTGCTATTTTGGGAAATCATTAAAATGGATACATATGCGTGTAAACCACTAGTTCAAGATTAACTGAAAAGTACATATTTCTTATTCAATTAATTTCTTTTATTATTTCATCATTAATTTTGCTCATTCAATCAATAACTAATAGTTATTTTAAAAACTAATCTCTGGTTTTTAATCTCTGCTTTTTGCTACTGGAAGTTAAAAAAGACAGAACCAATTAATCGAGAATTTAAGACTGATGGAAATTCCAATGAAAACGCATGATTTATCGTCACCATTATACATATATGTAATAAATGTTCTTCTGAGAATACACGCAATCTATTGCAAAATTTTGCGGTCAACAAACGAACCAAAAATAAACTCGTGTGTAGATAAATTTCTCTAGAGCCTAAGACTCCTTAGTGTATACGTACGCACATAATATTCACATTTATCGCTTTTCAATATTTACATTTCAAAAAACCAAGTCACCTCTGTTCCATGGTGAATAAATTTTTCAGAATTAAAAATCCGAAATTGAAACAGAGTAAAATTTAAAGTTTATATACCTTATCTATTTGGTTCAATTCTAAATTTATTTATCAACGAGTTTAGAATTTGCATCAGTAATTCGAACATACTATTCACATGCGGTTCTTTATTTTAATCTTGAAGGGATAAAATCAACTGGGAGAGAGTAAATGTTGGCTTATTGGTTAATAAAAACGTCATTACCACGTGTTTTTGGCACGTGTAATCACAAACTGTCACACCTTTCTCGAATTGTTAAGACGCCAAACGAATTACGCGAATTTTAGTGTCACTGACGTCAGCATTCTGAAATAATTATTGCAATACAGACGATGCGATTTGGTATAATCAAAGTTCCTCATGAGGAAAGCATGAGGAAAGCAATAGCTTTCTCCTTTATTCACTTTAATTCTTTAATTTCTCTTTAGAAATTGAGAAAATAATTTAATAGGTAATAATAAATATAATTGGAATTTTAATTTTTGAAGGGTGATTATGTTCCTGAACACGTGGGACCTCCAGTAGCCTGTTGCTGTGTGAAACTAGTTGATGTTCCCGAAATGGAATATTATGCTATAAACAATCAAGGGGAGGTGTGTGTGAAGGGTACAAACGTTTTTATGGGATATTTCAAGGATCCCGAGAAAACTGCACAAGTCATCGACGAAATGGGATGGCATCACACTGGTGACGTCGGCATGTGGTTGCCGGTACGTCAACATTTTATTTCCTAATTAACGCATAAAGAGTAAAAATTAGAAATTCATCAGGGACCGTCCATAAATTACGTAACACGTTTTTAGTGAAATTTTGAACCCCCCCTCCCCCTATGTAACAAGTTGTAACAAAATCGTTTTACACCCCCCCCTCCTTATCAATGTTACGTAATTTTTAAAAATATTTTTTTACTAACGTTTTTCGAAACAAATTTGTTTATTACTGTTATTTTTAGTATTTATATCGTACAATAGCAATACAAAATTAAGTTAAATATAAAAAACATTTAGAGGAATAAATTTATTAATCATACTGAACAACCAAAAATATAACATTGATTTTTTAACAATAAAAATTGTATATTATTCCCAAGAATCGGTTCGCGAAATGATTCGATTTTTACTTATATTGAAGTGGCGGCAAGGGACAGCTTTTCAAAAATATATCCATTATAAAGAGATTAAGTTCCTTATAAATATTACGTAACAATGATGATTAACCCCCCCCTCCCATGTAACATATGATAACATTTTCTCGAACCCCCCCTCCCCCCTAAACGTGTTACGTAATTTATGGACAGCCCCTCAAGTCATTTTATTTATATTAGTGAAAAGTAAATAGATTTCCCTTTGCAGAACGGAACACTCAAGATAATCGATAGAAAAAAACATATCTTCAAGTTATCGCAGGGCGAATACATTGTCCCAGAGAAAATAGAAAACATATACATTCGCAGCCAGTACATTCATCAGGTATTTGTTCATGGGGAATCGCTCAAGTCTTGCGTTGTCGCAGTTGTTGTTCCCGATGTCAATGTTGTCAAATGCTGGGCTCTGGAGAACAAAATACCGGGCACTCTCAGTGTTCTTTGCGCTAATCCCGAAGTGAAAAGGTTAATTCTCGATGATATGCACTCGTGGGGAAAAGAAGCTGGCCTTAAATCGTTTGAGCAGGTAAAAAAAAAAACATTATTTGGCTTTTAAGAAAGTCTTTTAAGAAATAAAACATTGCCTTTATTTTGCAGGTCAAAGACATTTACCTCCATCCTGATCCGTTCTCAGTGCAAAATGGACTTTTAACGCCGACGTTGAAAACGAAACGGCCCCAGTTGAAGGCGTATTTCAAGCCGCAATTGGAGGATCTTTATCAACAACTAGACTGACCAGGTTGAGCATATATTGTTCGAATAAAATCTAACAGCACCAGAAAGCAGCAATAATGTCGCCACATTTGCCAATTTTCTCACGTCGCCTTTTTTCAAAGTGAATCGCATCTTTTTATTATGAAAAATACGATTTATTCATCTTCTGATATATCTTTTTATTATTTATCATTTCTTCCATCGATACATAGCATTGCGAAACGATCACAAAGAAGAATGCCATTAAGGCTTCTGATAATAACGTGATAGATAATAAAATCGAGATATTGTTAAGCTTGCCTATTTCTTTACAAATTACATTATACTTTCACAAATAACCATCACGTCTTATTTACAATTAATTTTTGCCCTCTCCCTCTTATCCATTCACGTCAGTTATGTACATATATAAAAAAACAAAAAACAAAAATTAAAAACAAACAAGTGACATCTCTTTTTACTTATTTCCAAAAAATTAAGAAGTGCGTTTGAAAGTGTAGTTTTAAATAGTGAAGTACATTAGCATTAGTGAAATGATCATGTATTTATCGCGAAAAATGATTAAATTTTTTATGAAAAAGAACAAACAAACTGACACTGTTGAATAAAAAAAAATAAAAATATATACAAGATTCCAGAGTTTTCCCGCATTTTTCTTATAGAATTCCGCTTGAATTGTTAAAAAAATTCCAGCAGATAATTGCACATTAAATCTCTACATTCTTAAACACTAAAGAAAAGAACATTTATCAAATGACTAGAATTGTCAGTCAATGACGAGTGTAAATTGCTTTCTAAATTCAGTCCACTGATTTATAAGGACAATTTGCGGAGGGTTTTCACCCTCTTATATTGAACAACAATCTTAAAGAACAACGTGTACTTGTGTAAATGGCAAAATTCCAAATTCGCGGTACACATTACGTGTCACGTGTCGGCCGTAGTGACGAGATTTTATAAATAAATTAAAAACTCATCTTACTGAGGCGTTGCTTTGCAAATAACTTACTTTAAACTTTATAGACAAGAACTGTATATCATGTGAAATACTTGAAAATAGAAGCAGGATTAGATCCTTTGGTTTGCTTCTTTTTTTTTGGATTTTTCCCTTAGACTCAGTCGAGGCACATTATTTAGCTCTTAAAGCTGTAATAAATAACAAAACAGCCTACAAATATCAATACAAGAGTGACTGTAGCCAAGATTAGCCTCTGTTGAAAAGCCCTGAAGATCATTCCAGATAATAGACGGGATCCTCGTCCAAGTTCTGCATCTGTGTCTCGTAACTGGAATTCAAATTTCAAGTCGTGATCAAGATAACTTGATGACTATTACTAAATACTAATACTAATACTTACTTAATATTTTTCGAAAAAAATGCTAAATAAGAACCTTTTTTATTTTAAATATTATTACGGACCAATTACTGACAAAAATATAACCAGTCCGAGTCAAATGAGAGAACATTTTACTTAAAACTAGAAATTCAATTTTTCATAATTATAAAACATGAAGATATCGATAACTTCATGTGATCAATTTCTTCATGTTTTGTAATAATTAAAGATGACCGAATGATAAAATCATTATCAATTCAATTATTATTTTCAAGAATTTTTAACTAAAATTCTTCTTTAAATTCAATTTTACGTAAAATTTCGATTATTCGTAAATTTTTTAATTAAATATGTATTAGAAAATAAAAACTTGAAATAATTTTAAGAAGAAAAATCAGCAAATAAACTTTCTCGAAAAAATTAAATTACAATTCAATCAAATTACAGACTTTACGGACCTTTTTTTAAAAAAACTGACTTTTACGAACTTCAAGAAAAGTTACGGACTTTTACGGGATTTACGGACCTAGTTCGAGCACTGCAATATTAACACATGAAAAGAAAAAAGCAACAAATTAAAATTCAACCTCCAAAAATAAGTACCTAACTCAAATTACACTTATTAACAATAATACAAATAAAGATTAAATTTCAACTAATTAAAAATTTACTGCACTCAAGAGATCCTTTTTCCTCCATAAAATGTCAAACAAACCAAAGTTTATTCATTACTTTTTGAACGATTTTTTGTAGAAAAAACTTTAGCAATTTTGTCAATGAAAAAAATGGAGAACTTGAGTAGAATTTACTTTCTAAAAATGAAAACAAGGAAATAATTTACCCTTCCTCTGCTTCTCTGAATTGTTTCTCTTTGGTCGTGAAGATCTTTCAAAACTTGAGTACCAATTTCCTCAGTTTCGAGGACCATTCGATACCCATTTTGTAAGGTTCTTCCAGTTCGATCTATTCTCTCGGAAGCATCAAGCAATCTTTTTCTTTGCTCTTCGGTGATGCCATTGTCCCAGGACTCTTCAATACCCAAATCAATGACATCAATTTTGGGATTCTTTGATAAATCAAATTCTTGAGTTAATCTTTTAAGTTCTGCTCTGTGACTCTCGACTCTGACACGGAGACGATCTCTTGCTGAGCCTGAGACACCTCGCACTTCCAATTCCATTTGCTCGAGCTGCGATAAATAAATATTTTTCAATACCCAGAAAAAAACATTTTTTAATTACTTTAACGAATAAAATTTCAAACTCAAGTCACGGTTGACCAAAATGTTTACCAGTTCTTGAGCTTCTTCGAGTTCCCGATCAACATCTTGTATAAACGGCCTTTTCTCATCTGTAAATTACAAATTGAATGTTAGACTATCGATTATTCTCGAGTCACAATTTTTAAGGTTACGAAATTCAAAATATTCAAAATGTTCAAAATTAAGCAAATTAAGTATTAAAAAACTTGAGTTGGTGAAAAAAATTTACATAAAAAATATCAATTTACCAAATTATTATTTTAGGATATAGTACAAACGTCTTAAAATTATACAAGTTTTGCAATAAACTTACTGATGTTTAAAACTGCTATTCTACCAATTTTGGCAGTAATGTCAGCTGTCAAAATTGCATATTGTTGCTCGTAGTTGTCAATGAGCGTCGTCATTTCTTATATCAAAATGCAGCTGGATGTTTAAGTGCTGATCAATCTAGACATTTCTAGTACAATTTGTGCCAGGTTCAATGAAACTTGATTAATTCACTTTCAACATGTATAAACTATGACTTGTTAAATATACAACACTCTTTTTATAAAGTACATTTATCCATTTAGAGCGTACTATGAGAAAGCCTCGAAATAACTTTTGCATTAATCGTGAGACATTTGCAGAAAGGTTGTTTGAACCAATTTGAACAGACATGTACGCTTCAAAAATTTGTTAAAAAACTTTTTGGAACAAAAAGTAAGTTTCTGTATGATTCAGCTACACACGACTGCATCCATCGTGCATCCTCCATCTGCTTCTGTTCTGTCAAAGCCCAAGTACATCGCATTGCGCAACTGCAGAAGTTATTGTGTTTCGGGCGGCAAATATAATACAGAAGTTGATGAAACATTTTTAATTTCATAAAATTTCTTTTAAGAAACGTTGACTGGTCCATTAACCAACCTCGGTTTCATCCAATTTATGAATGAATTTTAAATGTAAATCAATATAATTATATAATTTTACATATGACGCATAGTTGAGGGCGTTGAGGGTAAGTAAACATAACCTTAAAATGCATTGGTCTATATGTATATGATAGACCGTCTATCGCACCTCGATCTTAAGGATTTTCGATCATAATAAATGTTTATTTTTTGGATTAATTATTGGATATTCTATCATTCTATCTATAATAAATAACGTAACTTAATATGACTTGAGCAGTTTTGCGTGCTTGATGGTAATGACGGTAATGACATCACGTGAAATTGCTGGAATAAAGGCTAATCCCCACAAATGTTCCTATTTTAATTAATTTATTGATTATTTAAAATGTCACATAATTTCTACATTTACATAAACAAATTAGAAATTATTTCGAAATTAATTCAAATAATTGTTTAATAACTTACGATGTATATTTAAAATTAATTTTGATTTTTTTTTATCGACGTCACGACGTGGAAGAGAAATGGGCGCTTAATTTAAAATTTCAACACTTGAATATAAAATTAAGTGAAATTTTGACAGAAATGTTGTTAAATATTTCTATTTTTCAAAAATAAAAGATTTAATTTAAAAATTATAAAGATTTTTGTTGCAGATAAGAAAATTTTAAAAAGAATTTAAGACTTTTCTTTCAAAGAATTTATGACCTGGTTGAAAATGGCGGACATGTTGACACGTCAGTGAAATATAAGCCTATCAAAAGCAATATTAAAAAATGTTCACCAATCAGTAAAGTTCAACGTTGGATTTTCAGATTCTACATATATATACACATCACTTTGTATTTGCATTTGTGTTGTAGTTGAATGTGGAAATGACGATGGCTGCTGAAGTAAGGTGGTTAGTAATTTTTCTCTTATTTTCTGTGTTTTCTGAGATTTTCGCGGATCAAATTCATCGCCGATTTGAATATAAATATTCATTTAAACCTACGTACCTTGCACAAAAAGATGGAAGTGTGCCTTTCTGGGAATATGGAGGAAGTAAGTGAAACTCAAATATAACCAATATTTTCAATATGTTTCAAAAAATTTTAAAACCATTTATTATTTAGAAAATATTTTTGTTTCAAATTTACCTTCAGAACATATATGATTATTAACTTTTAGGCACTTCATTTTTAATTTATTTCACGATTACGAGTATTAAGTTATAGGTTTCTGTTTTACTGATTGAACTTTTACTAGTACCGTATGTTATTTTCCGGCTTTTCAAAATTTTTAATTTTTCGTTAATTTTTTAAACAAAGAGACGCAGAACTTGATAATTTTTCTATAAATATCTTATAGTGTTGATATTTTTAAATGTTAGTTTCATTTATTTATTTACTCCTTTTTTTAAGTAATTATTGTTATAATATTTTAATAGTTTTTTAAAAACTAATCGAAGAAAAAAAAATACAGTAAAGAGAAATGTAAAAAAAAATTTAATTCTATAGTTTTAAATATACGAAAGGAATTTGTGTTGACGTATGCAATATTTTGAGGTCATATACTTTTTCTTATAAAATCTTAAGTTCATTGGCTGAAAATATTTCGTCAGGTCGTATTTTAGAATTATATATAAGGACTTGAATTAAATTCTCTAGTTAATATTGGAAAAATTATTTTAATAATGAAATCACTATTAAATACAATTATATATATTTTCGTCGGTGAAAGTTTGTATACCTATTAATCGATACATCAATTAATAAAGCGCTTTAATTCATTCGACAATTTGTTTTCTTTCAAAAAAAGAAAAACAATGTAATAAATACAAGTGGCATTTTGATAATTATTTTTTTTTTCTCCTTACTATAATAGAAATTAATTTTATTTACAGATGCAATCGCAAGTTCGGACAGTGTCAGAGTTGCACCATCATTAAGAAGTCAAAAGGGTAAAAGCTTAATATAATTATTTCAAATAAATGCCCCTTTGTTTCTAAATTAATCCATAGATATTAATATTATTAAAGCTTTTCAATTAATTTATTCTATTTAATCCTGGAAATAATTTTTGATTTGAAATACACTCAAATTGAATAGAACGTAAATTTTGCTATATAGGTTTTGATATTTCCAAATAGCACTTTAATATATTATTGAATAATTTATACAACTGTCTGGAATTAGGTGCGATATGGACGAAGAAAATGACCAACTTTGACTGGTGGGAGGTTGATCTTGTTTTTCGCGTAACTGGTCGAGGAAGAGTTGGAGCTGATGGTTTAGCATTCTGGTTCACAACTTCTAAAGGTCAATACAATGGAACTGTTTTTGGGAGTTCCGATCAGTGGACTGGTCTTGGTATTTTCTTTGATTCCTTCGACAATGATAACAAGCATAATAATCCATATATTATGGGTGTTATAAACGATGGAACAAAAACTTTTGACCACAGCAAGTAAGTAGTAAAATTCCAAACTTCTTTTCGAATAAATAATAAATTAAAATTAAATAGTTGCTTTAGTTTATAAATTGTTTTTAGCGATGGAGTCGGTCAACTTACAGGGGGATGTTTGCGTGATTTTCGTAATAAACCTTTTCCTACAAGAGCAAAAATTGAATATTACAAAAATACTTTAACGGTATGTCGATTAACAAGTTTAAATTACTTTTATGATATGCATATTTTACTGTTTCCATAATAGGTACATTAAATTCTTTTTATTTTCTAGGTTTTGTTCCACAATGGTATGACGAACAATGAACAAGATTACGAAATGTGCTTCCGACAGGAGAACATTTTTCTGCCACAATTCGGATACTTCGGAGTTTCTGCAGCCACTGGTAATTTCTTTTAAATTTTTGTTTTGACTCCATGAAATTGTAAAGATAAAACTAAAAGAATTTTACAGGTGGATTGGCGGACGATCATGACGTATTTCATTTTTTAACAACGTCTCTTCATCCTCCGGGGCAAATGCCTCAAGGAATTCATCAAGTTTCAAATGAAGACAGTGCGAAAATAAATCAAGAGTACCAAGAATATCAAAAGAAAATGGATCAGCAAAAAGAAGAATATAAAAAGTATAATATCGTATAAAATATAATTCTTTATAAATTAAATTTTTTGAGCAATTATTATTATTCTCTTAATTTTGTAGAGAGCATCCAGAAGAATTAAAATCAGAAGAAGATGAGTGGTACGAGACAGAGACTTCAAGAGAATTGCGTCAAATTTTCTCTGGTCAAAGTCAAATGTTCGATGCTCTACGCGAACTTAACAAAAAACTAGATGAAATTGTCGGAAGGCAAGAGAGATCATTAAGTTTAATTTCGCAAATACAATACGCTGGTAAAAATGAAAAAAGTTCAATATAACACTATCTAATCATTAAACTACATTAATTTGTAAATTATATTTTAAAAGATTATTTGAAGCAAGATGTTTATTTTTAAAGGTGTGCAGGCTTCTGGTGGACAACCTGGACAGCATGTTCAACCTCCCCCACTTATAGACACAATTCGTAGACAAGAAGTAGAATCTGTGTTAAATAATCAAAATTTAATTATGAATGCGGCTCGCGAAATTAAATCTGTTATGAGCGAAGTTAATTCAAAAGCAGATGGTATTATGAATCATCAAGCCCGTGCTCCGACTGCTCAGGTACAAATAATATATTGTAAAACTGTTTATATAGATCGTTTACTCCAAGTTTAATAGTTAAATTTAAAATTGAGAAAATAATGAAAATAAAATTTAAAAAATTTTAGGTGCAACCAATGGGCTATGATTACCATTCACTCATCTCAGAGATGCGAGATGGACTAAATGAATTAAAACGTGACAAACAAAATATGAAATTTGATGCAGGCAGTTGTCCTACGCAAAATTGTTTGACGACAACAATGTTCTTATTATTTATTTCAATTCAAATGGGTCTTCTTTTAGCGTATAGTTTATACAAGTAAGTTTCTTTTACCTATATTGAAAATTAAGTTATTAATTTTGCAACTTATAATAAAAAATTATTAATACAATAAAATTGATTTAACCATTTCTTTGATTTTTTCAGAGACAATAAAGAAGCACAAGCGAAGAAGTTTTATTAGTAATAATTAATTTGTTAGGAAAATTTAAGTCGATAAAGAGTTTCAATGCAAGTATTAACTTAATATGGAATTTTTATATAACACTAAAATATTGAAGGTCCTGATTGAAGAATTAGTTGAACTTTTTTTATCTCGGATTGATTAGTGTGTAAATAAATTGAAATAATGAGAAATTTTGTATTTTTCTGTGCGTATAATTTATATACATACTATTTATAGAAGCATTAAATTCACAATTATTTGGATTTAGAGATGAACGAATACGATTTAGAGATGTTTAGAAAGTTATAACCGGTACTTTGCTTGGGACTCTCAATTACATGTTGATTACTTGTTGTCTTCTTAAACTCTTGTATGAATAAAAAAAAGAAAGGAAAAGTTGACCGAGATTAGAACAAAAACGATATCTCTTAATTCTAAAAAATATAGCAAATTTAGTCAGTTTGAACTATTAAAAAAATTCCATTAATATATAAATCTAACTCAAATATTTTGAGAAAAAACAAACAGAATCAAGCACAAGAAAATAACTTTTTTATATTTGCTACATCTGAATAAATGTGACTAGAGTTTCTTGAAAAGTGTGCTATATTTTTTTACTCCTACTCGAACTTTCAATTCTCTAGTGACTTTTTTATTAATTTTTATTTTACATTAATGCATTTTGTGCATAGCCTCATCTACTGAGTAATTCATATCGTGAATACTGTAAAACTTATTGGATTTTTATGAATTACAATTTTTAAATGTATTTTTCATTGATTTTGCAGGTATGAATGTTTAATAGGAATTGTTAATTAAATTCGGAATGCTTTTGTGTTTCTTAATTGATTTATGCATGTGAGAGAAAGAAGAGCGAGAATATTGATAATATGTCCGGGTGTGTCGCGTCTTCGTTGTATTTTGTAAAGAATTTACTATCGATTATAAATGGATCATAAGGTGTCAACATCATAATAGTTAAATAGTTGTAGCATGTCATGTGTGTGGGAAATTTGGGGGAAAAATTTCCTATAATTATGAATCATCCTCACATTAACCTCATTGCATTTATAAGAGTTTATAGAAAATCTGTAAATGTAGAAAATCTATCAAGTAAGAATAAACGTGAAAGAATCCTCAGTTTCTTTCATTTTAATTAATTGCCTTTCTTTTCTTATAGTTTAGTCGCATTTAATCACAAAATCCATACACAACTTTTAAATGGTACTGCTTTTTAGATATTATTCATAGAATAAAGTGAAGGTCTATAGCATTTGAGAAGTGCCTAATAGAAAACTAAACAAAGTACTTCGAGAGAAGATTAAAACTCAGACCTTTACCATCTATCTTTATTGTTCCTTATGAAATAATATTTGTGATAGATAAAAGTAGCCTTTTGTTTTTTTCAAATTCCCTGACTTTTACAGGTTTTTAGAATACATTTACATTTTACCAAATTAAATAACTTCCTGATTTACAGAAAGAAAGACTCTAAAGAACTTTATTTTTAAATAAATATATTTAATCATTATTATTTTATCATAGAAATTAAGATTATAAGAATATTATTATATAGAACATGAAGATATCAATCAATTCATGTTCAATTCATGTTCAATCAATTCTTCAAACATTATTTTCATTATTTTGATTATTCATTTCTAGAATAATCTACAATTTGAATAATAATTCAAATCTAGAATTTAATTAAAAATGTTTTGAAAATATAGGTAAAGGTTTTTAAAATAATTGAATTTCTTTGATAAATTTTAATACAATTTATCAGAGTCATTTCATTTTTTGAGAAATTTTGAGAAATTTGATGAAAATAGTATTAAAAATGATTGAAATTCAGCATTGAGTTTTATAATTTTATTATTTATGAAAATGATTTAATCTCTGTAAAAAATATTATTTATGGAAGTAATTAAATAATTATTTTAAATAATTGATTTTAATTTTTAAATAATTGCATTCCTGTGAAATTTTTATTATTTATGAAAATAAAGAAATGTTTGCGTAGAATTCTATTAACATTTTTGTTAACTAAATGAATTCTTTTATGAATTTTTATTAAAATAGTAGATATTAAAAATGATTGAATTGAAGAAAGTTTTTGAAAATAATTAAAATTTTGCCAAGAATTTTATTATAATTTTTGAAAATAATTGAATTTCGGGCAATCATTTTGCAATTGTTTCAAAATTCAATTTGTTTTAGTGTTTTCAACTAAAATTCTTATAAATCCATTATTTTTCATAATCAATTAAATATATATTATAAAAATTTAACTAATTTCCGAAGAATTATAGTTTTAAAATGTTTTTTTAAATCAAAGTTTTTTAATATTTCTAATTAAATTCATTTAAAATTGAAATTTTACAAAATTTCATTGAAATAGTGGACATATTGAAAATAATTGAATTTTGACCAAATTTATTAAAATTATTTTGAAAGAATTTGAATTCTTACAAAGAATTTCATTCAAATTTTTGAAAATAATTTAATTCTTTGAAAAAATTTAATTAAAAATATATTGAAAATATAGGCAAAGGTTTTTAAAATAACTGAATTTCTTTGATAAATTATTTAATACAATTTTTAAGAATAATAATTTCATTTTTCGAGAAATTTAATGAAAATTGTATTAAAAATAATTGAAATTCTGATGAGTTTCACTTTTTATGAAAATAATTAAATCTCTGTAAAAATGTTATTATTTATGAAAATAATGATATGTTTGCGTAGAATGTTTAAAAAATATTTTTTAACATAATTGAATTCTTTTGGGAATTTTTATTAAAGTAGTAGACATTAAAAATCAATGAATTGAGGAAAGTTTTTGAAACTATGTAATTAAAAATTTACCAAGAATTTTATTAAAATTTTTGAAAATTATTCAATTTTTAAGAAGAATTTCGATAAAAATTCCCCGACTTTTCCATATTTTTCCAAGGTTTATAAAATTCTCTGACATTTCCAGGTTTCCAGGTTGCGTGGCAACCCTGATAATGGATTTACGGTTTGAAAAATATTAGTATATTATTAGAAAAATATAAAAATTGCTAATGCGTGAATCCTTCACTGCTTTGTAATGGGAGATTTGTGAATGTATCCGAGTTAGGGTCAAAATTGATATTTATGAAGCAAAGTACACTTGACTCCGGGTGAGTATCCCATCAAGTATCATAATCAACGTTAAATGGACCAAAAAGCGAATGAAAAGCAAGCGATAGATTAATAATCCTTTTATTGAATTAGTTACACATTCAATAAATAGTGCTTGTCAATATGTGGACGTCCGCGTGAAAAGGGACTACTTTGGCACTATTGGACTTATCTATATGGGCGAATTCCTTGCAAAATTTGGAAAATTTTGAGCAATTTTTTTTTCTTAGAACCTTTTTGATGAAAAATTCGGTGAGTTACAGTAGAATTTCAAAGTTTAGAATGTCAAAAACCTCATTTCGAGAAAATCGAAATCAAAGATTGTAATACAAATATCTTTGCTTCTTCTAGGAAGTTATTCGGATAAGAATTGTTTTAAGTCTAGTACACCTTTAAGATGAAAAATTAATAGGTTTCGAATTTCCCCCTCCTCCATTTTTAAACAATGAAAAAATAACGGACAGCCGACAAAGTGGTCCCTTTTCTAAAATTGCGTTTTTTAATTAATAAACCTGATTTTTTGCCAAGTTAATGGTTGGATGTTATTTTATTGAGTTAATTAAAGCAAAAAAAGAGAAAGTAGACATAAAAAAATTGTTTTCAGGGACTCTATTATGAATAATCTTATATTAGGAAATATCGAAATTTTCATTTCTAAAAAACGAAATTAAAAATCGTAATGGAAATTTCTCTAGTTCTTCTTGGAAGTTATATTCAGATGAGAGTTATTTTAAGTCTAGTACACCCTTAAGAAGAAAAATCAAAAGGTTTTGAATTTTCCCACCCCCTTTATTTTGAAACAGAAAAAACTTTTGAAACAGACCGACAAAGTGGTTCCTTTTCATTTTTTTGTCTGACAACGAAATAAAATACTTAAAGTATCAATAAATTAATGAAGAATGCATGGTTCGACGTGTGAGACCCTGTAGATTAAGAAAAAAGAATAAAAAAAGTTTCGCCATTTTTTTCAAAATTATAGTAAATTGCGATTATGTCCGAATCTAGATCATTAAATTATACATCAATACGGACAGGAAAAATATTATTCCTGCTGCTGATCATTATAGTTATACAAGAAATCTTTAAATTGATTCGTTTTATTTCATGATTCGTACACACTAAAAAAAAAGTTTTACTTTTAGCCTGTTTTCGAGGCTGAATTTAAGGTGTAAACGGAGTCAGAGTTTTTTTTTCCTGTGTACAATTGAAAAAGACTTTATAAAATCCATCATCTAAAATTTAACATTTGTGCTTAAATCACACGTAATGTTATTACATATTCGTTCGTTATGTGGAAATTTAAAAAATTCTCAAATCAAAGTTGGTTAAATTTCTTTTTCCGGAATGGCAAATAAAAATTATTGCGCAAAGCGTGTCGACGATTTTTATCATTTTTATTGTTTCTATCCCTCATGGGTTGGGGGTGTTGCTGGCGGATCGTCCATCGCGATTCTTCCAACGTCTCGATGAAATTTATCCAACCCACTTTGGCATGAATGCAGCCAATGAGAATTTTCATGATATTCGCGCAGAATCCACAAAATTCATCCCTTTGTGAAGGAAATTTCCATTGGTTGAGTTTGATCCAATAGAATTTTTCCCGTCTATTGATCTTCAGTTTTTTCAGTTGTTTTTTTTTTTTTTTGTTTTTTAGTAGCAAAGTTATAAAGTGTTTTACGAGCGACGCAGAACGACTGTGCGCGTTATGATGGCCATGAGTTATTAAAATTGCTAGAGGATCGTTCAATGCTTTCTGTGAATTAATGGGATTTGTTCATGGTATGGTATATATATATATATATACCATAAACTTATATATGCAAAATTTTCTAAAAAAAAATAAATATTTATGGATTTTTCACTGGAATAAGTCTTACTTTCTTAACGTTTCAAGGGAATAAACTTTCTCCTTTATACTATATTTTTGTTACAAAACGTTTATTGAAGAACGTGTTAAAAAAACTTTTATGTCTTAAGCGAAGCTTTCCAAAGACTATTTTGTAAAAGCTTTTCCATTCAAATTAAAAACTTTTCTTATGATTTGGACACTTGAATATTCCTGGAATCTAATGTAATATTAAAGATTAATTTAATGATTGTAGTTTTAACTAATTTTAAATGATGATTTAATTTTTTGAAAATTCGAATAAAATAATTGTTCTCAATTGTTGCAAACAATTATTAAATCAATTGGCCTTAAAATAGTGTACATATTATTTTGCAGGAAATAAAAAAGAATTTTAAAAAATAACAAAAAGAATTGAATTCTATTATTGTTTATTTTTCCGTTTATTTTTAACGGAACTTTTTGAATGAAACGATGAGTCTTTATAAATTTTTTATTTCTCAACATTTTCAAAAGTATATTTCAGTTTTTGTATCTAAATGGATATCGAGTGTCATAACAATGCTTAAAGGGATGATTTCGTTTGAAATAACAATTTAAGCAAAAAATTAGAAGCACTTCACTGAATAAACAAGGGTTTTTATTGTGGAGGAGTTTGAGATACTTTTATATAGAAGTTGTTTTTTTAGATATTAAAGCAAAAAAATAAATATATGGACATAATAACAATTCGGATATGTCACTTCTTTTTGCGAGATAATATAATAAATATGTAATTTTAAATTATTTACTTATGTTATTTTAACAATTTGTTTTAATAATCACAGTATGTATAGGTATAATAATATATAACAAAATCTAATAGTAGGTATCATTTTGTAGAAATAAAACTTAGAAGAAAAAAAGATAATTAATTAAATAAATAATAATTTTACAGAGGGCAATTCAATCACTGTTATGCAGATATAAACACTTTAAAAATGATTGTACTTCCTTTCGTATTAATTATTAATTTTTTAGTAATTGATTATGATCTGTGCGTGAATAAACTGAGTTGAATGCTGATAAACTTGTAGATAAACATTTATGTTTCTATTGCAAAACGATAGTGAAAGAAATTCGTCCAATTAAATTACAAATACCAAA